TGGGTGGGGGGGGGTTCTAGAATTATGATGGGTGTTATGGGCCGAGTAAAGTAAGCCCATTATTAATGGGTACTCTCACGACCCAAATTTTGAAATAAAATTGCATCATAACCAAAAACAAATTAAAGATATAAATTTTGGTGAAAATCTGATATTTTTTTTCCCTCGTGGCATGGAATCTGAATCCTAAAGATTTTCTACTTTCAAAACCCACAAAATATGGTGTAAGATGCAAATAAAGACCATAGTACAGCTCAAGAAGAACAGGAACAAAAGTACATGGGAGTACATTACATCGGTGTCCTTTCTCTGTGAACAAATCCAATACAAGATTACAGAAACGTAGAGAGCAAGGAATCAAAATTGAAGCACCAGACCATCATGATCATTACATTGCGATAATTCTCCTTGTTCCATACTTCTCTACGGGTCCTCAGGAGGAGGAATAATAGACCAATGGATAGGAATAAAACTGGCGACGAGCTCACTCAAACCAGTAGGCAAACCACCGCCACCGAACCCCAAGGACCACGAGCCAAACCCGGGATTTTAGGTCCGGTAAAACGAGGACCGATACTCGGGGTTTTTCGGGTCAGGACCCAGCAGTAGACACCAACACATTGTGTTCCCTAAGTCGTTTCTGGAAATGAGCAAGACGGTTCTGTAATTGGAGAATACCTGCTGCCTTCTGAGAGAGAATGGCGTTCAGTCTTGTAATGTAGCCGTCGAGCTGGTTTCCCGGTTGGTCTGCCTGGACGAGCAAGTTCATCTCCTGCAAATTTGATTCAAACGCCCTTTAAAATCATCTACCTCAGGGATCTATATATCTATATAAATATACAATCACATGGACAGAAGGTTAGCAAAACTGATGTATTGTACCTCCTTTACAATATTCATGGTCTCTTCAACTTGTTTACGGTGTGCGTTCACAAGTTCCTCTTCTTCCTGCAAAAGGGTTTGTGAGAAATGTTCATTAGGTAAATACTCTTGTTATAGACAGATTGTTTTGAAAGAAGATACCGATATTGATAATCACCTGCAAAAGCGCGTTTAGATCATCATCAGAGTTTGACTTCGCCATATCAGGTTTTGGAATCTCCCTTGATTTCATCTGAACATTAGGTTTCTGCGTTCTGTCCTGTGCTGGGGCATTATACGATGGCTCTAGCTTCCCGTTTTTCTTCCAAATTTGTTTCTCTTGCTCATAATCCGATGCATCAAATTCATAGTTATCCTCCGCCCATGTGTCATTCACATCATCATCAAAGTTAGACGGAGTTGGCAGTGTCGAAGCCAAGGGAACTTTCGTTGACTCCCTCAGGTTTACGGTTGAAGAGGATACATCCTTCTTAGAATTATTTCCTTTCGAGAGACTCTTCACCCTAAAATGCGGTTTTCATAGTTTAAATGCACTTTGTGAGACAAAAAAACGGTGAAACGAGATAAATAGGGCATTGAACAAGTAAAATATACCTGTCAGCATATCTCAAGGTGTTCAGGGTATGTTCACATGATCCAGAGCTCGGAGATATGCAAGATATCATGACAGTGCGTGAATTTCCCATGAAGGAATCCCTGAGAACTTCGGTTAACTTGCTGCCTCTAAAAGGGATGTGACCCTGATCATTATCTAGAGCTCTGATGCACTCCTTTAAGGCAAGTAAGCTCTTATTGATCTCTGCCCCCTCCAATCTGCATGATATGAACATGAGAAAAATACTTCAGCAACCAGTCCAAAACAGTATTGACACTGAGCAACTTTGGAAGAGAGATTATTCACCGATAAAGGAAAGTAAAGTCCCAAAGGAGAGATTAAAGAAAGTCCCACCTTGTCTGCTTGTCGTTGTCTGTTGTATCAGCACCACGTTCACTACCAGCGAGATCAATAAAGGAAAGCTTGCCAACAAGACGAGGAGGCTTCGACTGGTTTCCCTCTACTGATTTTTTTATGGCAAGCTGAAGTATGGCATGTGAACGAGAGGATTCCTCATTTGCACCAGTTGTCCCAGTACTTCTTGTTGCACTTCCTTTCTCAATAAGATCCCTTATTGTTTCTGCATCTGACACTCTGTACTCTTGCAAACCCACGATGCAAACTTGCTGCTTACCATCCTCTCTCATGCAAAGCTTCCTATAGAAGTGGAGAGATCGATGTTTAGCTGCATACTTATGCATTGCAGCCAAAAAAAAGAAGGAACAAAACAGTTGTTCAACTTACTTCCGGTCACTAAGGAGGTCGAATAGCTTTCCTCCGTAAATCTCAAAAAAGCTGACGAACAACTGCAACCCTTGGCCCCTGTATGTGTGGTGCATCAACCTAAGGATATCTCTTGATGCTTTAAGAGGCAGTGGTTTCATGGTATAGGTTTTACCACTACCTGGAAGCAAACATTAACAAGAGTGGTTCACATATTACATGACTGATTTCCACAGAATTTTTTGGCACGGAAACATTCATATTTTGTTAGCTAAAAAAGCTTAGGTAGAGAAAATGAGCTCAAGTGTTAGTGCCACAGAGTGTTATCGATTCAGATCTATATAGATTTATAGTCGATACCATACACTCTATTTTCCAATAATAGATTTATCATCGCCATCATACAATAATTTTTTCCCAACATGATAAAGACAGAATGGAAGCAAAGATATCTAAGAGTATCCAATCACGAGCTGCTATATTACCAGATTGGGAATTCAGATAAAATACTTATAAGATAGTAAGGTAACAGGCCTATGTATTGACTTTCTATTCAGAGTTTCCAGAAACCAGCCTTGCTGATTCATGACATCTCAAGACAAAATTTACCTGTCTGCCCATATGCAAAGCAAGTGGCTTTGGTGCGCTGAAAAATGAGGGGGACTACAGGCTCCACAGTCTCACGATAAACCTACAGAAAGTGACATCACATGTAATCTGAGAAACAACCACCACAACAATGTATATTTAGTTTCATATTTGCCCGTTTTAGTGAATATTTATATCTATATGTATAGTTAATCTTATATATATATCCTTTCCAAACGCACACTCACCTCATCATTTGAGACTTCCTCATTTAGTACAGAATCAAAAACAAATTCATGCTTTTCAACATAAGCTGTTAAGTCAACCTGCCAAAAATGCAAGTCTAGATCAGTCAACCTTTCATTCCAGAACAATATTTCAACACTACACATTTCAGATTCCAGGAATCTAACCTTAAGTTTAGTTTCATGAACTGTTATAGTATTGGAATATGTTTCAACAATGTCTTCTTCATTCTTCGCCAACTCCTTTTTGTTAAGTGGTCTCTTACGTACCTGTTCTCAAGAAATCAAGGAATATTGTGTTACAAAAGACACAACTATAAATAGCACGTTCAGAGTTAGTAGGCAGAGAACGGGAAATTGTGTACCAGAACATGCACTAGAGAAAAGAAAAGCCAGGTAAGAGAACATACGACAACTTTAATCTTTGCAACAGAATTCATCCTTTCTTTCTCAACAGCAAAGTTTTCCACAAACCCATGACTCCTGCCAGGTTGTTTGTTGTAGGTTTCGGTGTCATCAAAGCTGTGCCCTCGATTAGGATTGAAAATGGAGGGGCCATCTAGTTGGCTAGAGACGGGAATCTGCTCATAAGATAACAAGAGATAAGCATGACATGTGACAACATGGCAATAACATCATGCCATTAAGAGAGAACAAAATTCACATATTTTTTAATTTAGGCAAAGTAGAGGAGATATATTAGATGTTTTTCACAAAATCAAATAAACATACAAAACATCATGCATACAAAATGTGTTCACTGAAGATTAAATGTGGTGCAAAAAATGTAAACTTTCTGCACTAACATAAAAAAAAAACCATTGAATCAGAAGTATCTATGTAACTCTTATAGGAAATTCCAGGACCACCCACCTCAGGAAGAAGCTCGGTATCAAAAGAATGCAGATCTAAGAGCCCGGGACTAAAGCCAGATTCATCAGCATTATGTCTCTGGCTTGACGGGCGTGAACCATACTGAGGGGTAGTAGGCTCCCCATAGAACTCATGTCCACCATTAAACCCTCTCTGGGCATTACTGTATCCTCTTGCTGCCTGGTTACCACCATAGTATCCATAATCCTGTTAGCAATTCCACCATTAGTCTTAAAAAAATTAAAGAAATTTCCAACAACAGAAATTCTCAAATTTTCGATCGAGCTCCATATGGGCAAATGGCAGTTTCAAATTGGTCCGATAACCCTCATCGAGCAAATGCGCATGAAATCCAACATCTTGGCCAAGCGAATACATAAGATCGTATTCATTATAAGCAAAAACCCATCGCTGATCTCAACTAGCGTTCTAGAACTAACAGATCTTCTTAAGCAGAGGCGAAAACCCAGAACGAAAACAAGTTCATCGCACTATCTCACCAGCAAAACAGATCAAAAGCGAGGCAAAATAGGATAAGACCGCGGGTTTTACATTGCCGGAAGAAGATTGGAAGTGCTGGAGACCAGCGGACTGAAGCCATCGGCCATTGGAGGAGGCACCGTCGAGGAAGTTGTCGGAGAGCTGCCTCTGATGGTGCACCGTAGCCGCGCCAGATCTCTGCCTCCCATTCATCTCCGCCACAAAAAAATGCCGATCCCAATCTCACTTCTCCAGCTCGAATCGGAGCTCCAAATCTGACCCTAATCGGATCGCCCACCACAACCCCGTTCCCTCTCTCTCTCTCTCTCTCTCTCTCTCTCTCTCAATCTCTCCACAGGTTCAAATTAAAGTGCCGAGTTGCTCTCTCTTAAACCCAAGAGGTAATCATGGATTAGAGAGAAGGTTCCTCGCTTAATTTTGAAAATTTAAAACATTATTCAAATAATATGTTAGATATTTTTAATAAATGGATCACCTAACTTTATATATATATTATAATCATAATGTTTATTAACTTGGTGCGAGACGGGGTGGGAAGAGTAAAATCAAAGGAAGAGGGAGCGGATTAACGTATTGATTTACTAAATTAATTAATTTTTTGGATTAGGGAATTTAATTATAATTAGGTTTGAAAATTTTTGAAAAAAAATATAGAACGCACGTGAAGAGGAGGGGGTGCACCGAAACGACGCCGTGTGGCTCGTGAGGATATGGCATTATATTTCTCCCCCACATGGGTGGGTCCCGCGAGTTGGAGGACTCGTGCGACGAGTGTCGTGCTTTTTGGCCTTTTCTTACATGTATTCATTATTAAAAATAAAAATAAAAAACATTGAAGAACGAAGATCGTACCATATGACGACACGTGTACATTAAACGTACGGCTGTGATTGGATGAGGTGTCAATAGATCTGAACCCTAGATTTGTACGGAAGCTCTTGGAATCCGTACAGCACGGCCAACGGGGAACCGCTGAGTTTTGAAAATGTGATTAGTTTTAAGAGATTTTAATGTAAATGTAATTATAAATGTTTATAAGATTAAATTGCCAATCATATGGATTAATAAAAAAATGTAGAAATATAATCTTATATTTAAATTGCGAGAAAACAATAGGAAGATTAGCATTTAGCAAATTTAGGAAACTTTATCAGCTGAATGTGTGTTTAAACATGGATGGATGGGTGGCATTGGCGACCGGCGATTAGGGGTGGGCGTTTTAACCCGTAATCCGGGGGTTTAGAGGTATCCGGCTTAACAAGTACCTGAATAAAAGGTACCCGAATATTAACGATAACGAGATCGAGTATTAATAAAGCCAAATTTTTGACCCGCGATTCCGAGTGGGGGTTCAATTATTTTACAAGGGGTATCCGGGGGTACCCGATATATTTATTAAAAATCTAAAATATACTTTATATTTATAATATTTTTGTCTAAATTATTCTTATTATGTATTAAAATACTTTTATTTTAGTTCATTTTTTATCTTCTAAACATTTCTATACAAAAATTCTAACATTCCAAATCTTATTCTATACAACCGAATCAACTATTATTTTTCTCTCAAAATTTTACTCATCTCTCTTTTTCGTAAACTTTTTTTCTCTTTATACTTTGTCATATCTCATTTGTACTTTGTATATCTATCATTTCATAGTTCAAAATTTTATAAGTCGTATAGATCCAGATACCCGCGAATACAAGATCGATAATCTCATTAAACCCGAGCTACAAGTACCCGGATTTTATGAAGCCAAGAATGAGATAATGTTTTTGTAAAACCCGTAATGATGAAGACGAAACGGGGTTTTCTAAAAATTGGGGGTACTCGACCCGTGCCCACCTCTGCCGGAGACAGGATCCAAGAGTTTGGTCAAAACTGTCCGATGATTGTGTGAAAAAGTTGCAACCTTTGTTAAAAAGTTTTTAACTGATTGGTCGTGTTTCTTGAAATAGTTAACCACCACACAGAAATGGAACCTAGGGCATATGAAAATCAAGAACATGGAATCTAGGGTTGTGGAAATCAAGCATCATCATCACCCACAGAGACAAAACATCGAACTGAAGATTGAATGCCAGACAAGGACACACCCTAGATTTATTCCCACTTCAACAACATGGCATTTATGGCTTAACCAAATGTTGATGCAAGCACAATCACAAATCAAAGTAGCATGAGATATTACATCTCCAACAAGGAGGGATAGATATAGATAGACAGTGTGTAACTCAAGAGGCGCCCATCAAGAATTACTAAGAACGGCGACGACGAAGAAGAGTGTTACTCTCATTTCTTTCCGCTCTTCTTAAGCCCGGCTCCTCCAATTGCTCCCTTCTGAGCCTTGGCCCTGAGCTCTTTAAGAGCCTGTTCTCATGACGATCACGACATAAACAACAAACCACAACCTCTTACAGATTTTCAAATGACTCGACTCGAGTGATGATAAGTTGACAAAGATCTTACCTTCTCCTCTTCCTTCTTCTTCTGCATGTTTTCTAGATCATGCTGCAAACGAGAAACCATATCTATCATTACATGAAACTAGGACCAAAGAAACCACTCGGTGAACAATGCAACGAGTTTGTTTTTTTTTGGTTAAACAACAATGCAACAACTAACAAGTTCCCGCAGAGATTCAACACAGCCATAGATATACAGCGTTGGATATAAGCACCAAGGATTCGTAGCTCATAGTTCAAAAACCTATTGGAACTTCATCAGGTAGTGCAAATTACATCGCCAGACTCCAAAGTGCAAAACTTTTGCAAGACTAAAACAGCAAAAAATAAAAATCGAGGTCGAGAAAGGTAATCACAGATTGGAAAAAGGGAACGTACCTCATCGTAGTCTTTCTTGCCACTCTTGGGCTGCTTCAAGGGCTTCAATTTTCCACCTACAACAACAAACGAGACATAGATTCGTCGAGAATTAAACAGCAGATCCAACAAAGGACGAACTGTATGTATCTTAATCTCATAACACGGAAGGTTAAACAGAAGGTTTGATTCAAATAGTCCAATCGAAAACAAACAAGATCAATGGATTAATCGACTAATTCCAAAGATCGAACTCCAGATCCCCGCAAAAATCAGCCGGATTGCTTCAGAAAACTCGGAATAGAAAAAGCAAAATGATCGATCAATCGACTCAAACCAGAACGATGAATCCGAGTGGAGATTACCGAACGGAGGCTCAAAATCTAAGAGATCGTTAAAGATCTGAGAGAAACATACCTTGCTTGGAAGACATGGCTGAATTCTAGGGTTAGGATTAGACTTTGAAACTCAAAGACGAGAACAGAGACGCCTTCTCCAAGCCCCCAGATAAAAAAAAAACGATGCTAGAGAATATATAAAGGCCGAGTAATCCACGCGCTTAGCGCGTGGACGATCCCGGCCTCAGAAGTCTTTTTTTTCCTTTCCGCATGTAAAATTCCGATTCCTAATTTTTTTTTTTTCACCAAGTCCATATTTGTGTTTACCAAAAAACAAATCTATTTTTTCCCACATGAAATTCCAATTCCTAGCAAATATATATTTTCTAGTTTTCACCTAATCCATATTTCTGTTCACCCAAAAAAACATACTCCCCCGTTACAAAATAATTGTTGTTTTAGATTATTTCACATTTTTAAAAAAAAATGGAAAAGTTATATGTACCTTTATTTAATGATAAAAACAATGTTATCATTAATAATTTATTAGAATTTAATAGGGATAACTATTGAAAAAAAATATCTTGAAAATGTAAAATAATAAATATTTTAAAATATGAAAAATAATTTAAAACTATAAATATTTTGAAATGGATGGAGTATTTTTTTTCCTCATTTTCTCCACCCAAATCACTAATTCCTAAGGTAATAGATAAAGGGATAAAAGAATAAATTCGAAGTGAATATAATGAGAATCACATTCCATGATGCTTTCGAAACTGCATGGATAACAAGATATGTTCAATGGTGCATGGGATTCGGATTCATCCTATTACCAAATTAATTCGTACCATCCAATATGACTACCTAAAACTTTTAAAAATCTTATCTTAATTAAATATTATAACATGTTTACTTCTTTTCTTTAATCTCATTTCCAATCTCACAATTTAAGAATTGGGATATACGATGGAACGAAGACATAATAACACCCATTCCTCCATATATTCATTTAGTTTTCTGTGGAATTATATATCAAAGAGATGCAATTCCCGATTGTCATACGTCCTAGAATGTAATAAGGTTTGCCTATTTAGTTACAAAACGGTTGCATGTATTCGGTTTGAGATTATATCCACTAAATATTCGTTGAAACTTCAGGATGAATTAAATTTTAATTTTTTTATTCATAATCTGGTTTCAAATGATTAAAGTTTCGGATACCCAATTTGTGAAACTACTAGACCAAAAAAAATTACAAGTAGAGAAAAAAAAATTACAAAATCCAATCCAATAACAAGTTTTGAATATTAATGACATTTTTAAAGTTTCCAATTCATACAACAGCTATAAAACACGGAAGTTAAAAAAAACTTGGGAATCATATTTCTTACCATCGCGTTTCCAAACTCACCTTGCTTCCATCTCCGTGATAGTAACTCTGTTCGTCGCCAAACTTTCCGGCGCCGGCGGCTCGTTCTCTATCTCCGGCGAGATTCTCCGGAGAGAGTCGTAGAAAGCAGGCTCTCTCGGCAAAGGCAAAGCATTGCCGTCGCTATATATCATAGACACAACCTCCATCATCGAAGGCCTATCCTCTGCATTCTCTTGAACACACAACAGAGCAATTTGGACACATCTAAGCACTTGCGGATTCGGATCCTCGTACGATGATGAATCTCCCAATGATGGGTCTATTAGCTCCGAAACCCTATTCTCTCTCCACAGATTCCACGACTGAAATGATTGCAAAGTTTTCATTTTTTTTTGTGCCCAGAAGACAAGTAATTGTGTTCCAAATAATTTGGAAGCTGACACTATATATATGTATGGATCTATGCATGGCTTACATGAGATACGAGGTTGATGGGTCTTTCTGTGTCATGAAAGCTGTTATTCTTCCTCCCGCTCACCATCTCGAGCATTAGAACTCCGAGACTGTAAATGTCTGATTTGGTAGAGAACATCCCTTCTCGAACGTACTCAGGTGACATGTAGCCACTGCATTAACACAAAATTGACTTCATGACATGATCTTACCTCTAAAAAACTCAGAATTCGAGGCATAAAGATGCGAGAGATGTAGATTTTGAACCAGTGTTAGGTGAGAGTGTATGTATATCTCTGGTAAGTTCTCTTTAACTTACAAAGTTCCGGCAACTCGGCTAGTGATGGCTCTGGACTCTTGAGCTCCAAATATCCGAGCCATTCCAAAATCCGATATCTTGGGATTCATCCTCTCGTCGAGCAAGATATTGCTGGCTTTGATGTCTCTGTGTATCACTTTCAATCTCGAGTACTTGTGAAGATACAAAAGCCCTTGAATTGTCCCTTCCATGATATTGAACCGTATCGTCCAGTCCAGAAGATTCCTTCTCAAGGAGTCTGCACAGATTTGCACAAGTATTACTCAGATGGTTTCGTAGTATATTTTAAAAGGGTACTTTTTATTTACACAGAAGGCAGACCAAAGAGGAAGTAGTCGAGGCTCTTGTTTGGCATGTACTCGTAAATCAACATCTTCTCCCCCTTATCTATGCAGCATCCCAACAGCTGAACAAGATTTGTGTGTTGAAGCTTTGCGATAAGCATGGCTTCGTTCTTGAACTCCGCTAGTCCTTGTCCTGAACCTGTCGACAATCTCTTGATAGCTACTTCTTGCCCTTCTTCTAACATCCCCTTCAAGAAATTAGCAGGAACATTGTTTAGTAGCTTAAACACTGACTATCCAAATTTTCATTCTCTCACCTGATATCAACTGAAAGATTGTGCAAAACTCAAAATACCCAGAGAAAAAAAAATTCTGATGAATTTTTTCAAGAAGATGTGATACCTTATAAACAGGCCCAAAACCTCCTTCCCCAAGCTTGTTTGCATCGGAGAAGTAATCTGTGGCCAAGGCTACACTTTCGAAGCTAAAAATCTGCAACTCGTTATTCTTCCTTGTGATTCTCCTGTTCCTACGTCTCCTATCGATTCCTAATTCACGTAGTAGCATTTCTTGGTCTATCATCAAATTACCAGTTCGTGTTTCAAGCTTCCTCTGTATGAAATGGACCATCGAGAAAAAGATATGGACCACTAGACATAGAAGAATCATGAACATGCAGTCAGTCCAACATGACAAACATTTAATACATGCGTATACTACAATATCAAGCCAGCGGTTTCAAGTACGTACTCTGTGGAATGAGTATTACCCGCAGAAAGCTGACCATATGACGGAAGATAACCGTTACTGACCAAACACAAAACAGTAAAACTGTCAGTAAGGAGCATGCAATGCTAAGAACAATCCTTTAGAAAGCTGTTTGTGTGATTCTGATTCACATTGTACCTTTTAGTTTAAAGTTTCTCAGAACAAGATAGATGAACAAGCAAAACACAGGTATCATTAGAACAATCGATCCCAGAGCAATTAGCCAACCCTCCTTTTTGTCTTCTGCATATGCTGTATTCCAGGAAAATTATATCTCGGTAAATGCCACAGTCTATGATGCTTATTGAGAGGCAGATGTGCGTGTATACTTTTGAGAGTTTGTACCTCTTATTGAAAAACGGATATATATAGTTCTTGGACTATAAGAAGATGAGCTGCTGCTGGTAGGATCAATACCCCAAATCTCACACCCGGTACCATCAGCGTTGACAGAAGCATAAGCGAGACAAGAACAGTTATGAACACATGCATTATAGCAGTCATATGAACTTACCCTTCCACCAGTCTCGCTAAGCTGAAACCCTTTGCTTGAGAAAGGGGCTTCTGTCTCAGTGAAAAAGTTACAGAGACCCAAACACTCTGGGAACTCTTGCCCAGAACATCCAAACTGATACACTGTACTTTTTCTGTAGGTATTATTATACTGCCTCTCTCTATAGCACTGATATTTTGCTTCATCCTTAGCAAAAGGAGAACAATCGACGTGACTTTCCTCTCCATGAAGACTGATAATCTGCAAGACACCCTGATTGTCTATCATTATCCTGGGAAATGATGTAGCGCCATAAAGATGAGCTGAGTACAAAAAGCTTTCTTCACTCTCGGTTGAAACAAAGGAGAAGACGAAATTGCGGTTTTCCCAATTTCCCTGCAAGGAAAAGAGACCCTTGAACCAGAGGCCACTTGCCCAATAGAGGTTTCCGCGCCACAAAGAGATCAATCGGTTTGTAACATTAGGATCCATTCCAAAGGTAAAAGATCCAGAGGCTGGTAAATCCTTTTCTAGCCATGACGTCAGTTCCCATATCTTCCCGGTTCTAACGTTGAACCCCAGTTTCATCCCCGGAAGAAGTGTATCTGTCGGATAATCAAAACTCTGCCACAGAATTCTTTTCACCGACCCATCTGAATCCATCTCTTGGAGCTGAAGATTTCCAGAATCCAGCATCTTTAGAGTTGTGTTGCCTGTTGTTTCAGTAGAACTTAGCTCAACCGGGTCCACAGCTCCTCGTAGAATCTTCAACTTGCCAAGAGAGTCAATGATGAGGCTTCCAGAGTGATTAGAAATTGGATCGTTCCGGTTCGCAATCCAGACAACTCTGTCCCTGAGATCACCAAAGGTGCTATTACCATTAAGATAAACATTATTGTACCAAATCCCAAGATACCATTTTCCTGATTTCCCCGGGCTGAAGAACCCCAGTTTGAAGATCCTGAAAGCTGAAACCAGTTCTTGCTCATCTTTCAGGAACTGCCCCTTCAGTAGCGTGTCTGTTTCAGAGAAAGGTTGTCCTAACAAGAGAGTGCAGATACAGAAACTCAGAAAAATGCCATATGACCTCATAGTTTCAATGATTTTGAATCTCAGATGAATAATTTGACATACACATGTTAGAAAAAACTCCTCAAAAACATACTTAAGCGATGATATTGGTACCTCAAGTCAAGTCTACTTGAAGACTAAGTCGTCACTTTGCACTCAGAAGCTTTGTTCACACTAGGTAGGCAAAATTTCAAACTTTGCTGCTTTGAAACTTCCAAGCTTGCTTTCATTGAACTTCATCAAGGAAAAATGAAATTTATCATCTCTCAGTTGCTGATCATACAACAGAGACAGAGAACGAAGTTATTGTCCAATCAAAATCAAACAAAGTTCTCCCTTCCACACAATCCACCTTCACCGTCTTTGATTCAAAGCTAACGGGTCACTTGTTCAAAATTAGTGTTTCAGACGACTGTTGAATTCTTCCAAGTTGGGAAATTTTCTCCATCAAGTTCGATCTAAGTACAAAACTCTAACACCCATCAACGAAATATTTTTGGGTTCATCGTCGATATCTTTCTAGTGAGTGTGAAGCAAAGGATGACACCAAAATCTGGGTTTAAGATTGGAATCGCAGATGGGTTTTGAAGAGAAACGAAACGAGGAAGACAAGACGATGAATTTCATTGAGACATTTCGTCGAACACTTGACGAGTCTCGGAAGAAAACAGACCATCAAAGAGAAAGAAGCATCAATGAAACGTAATTCGTAGCAATTACCTTGGAAACCAAAAACAAAGTTCTTTCTCCTCAGAGATGTTTTGTTCTTCCAGTGTCGTAACTGTCGCTGGCCTCAGCGAAGTAACGGTCAACGGTTGACTGAGACTTTTGTCTTTACGTTAGTAACCCCTCGTTGATTCGTAATTATCAATATGCTTCTTTTTTCCTTCTTTTAAGAAATGTGGAGAATTTAGATAGGGGTGGCTTTTAAACGGTAATCCGACATTTATATCCGACTTGACAAGTATCCCAATATCGACGATGATGAAATCAAGGATTAATAAGACTAAATTTTGTACTACCGAATTCGAATGAAATTTAATTATTTTACAAGGATAAGGGTATCCGATATATTTGTTAAAAATCTAAAATATATTTTATATTTATAATATTTTTGTCTAAATTATTCTTTATTATTTATTAAAATATTTACCTTTCTATACAAAAATTCCACCATTCTAAATCTCAATATATGTAACCCGATCGACCATTCATCTCTCTCACAATTTTATTCATCTCTCTTCATCGTGAGCTTTTCTCTTTATATTTTGACATCTCTCATTTGTACTTTCTATATCTATCATTTTATAGTTCAAAATTTTATAAGTCGTATGAGTTCGATATCAGTGAGTACAAGACCGAGAATTTCATTAAACCCGAACTAAAAGTACCCGAATTTTATGAAGCCAAGACTGAGATAATATTTTTGTAAAACTCGTGATGATAAAAACGAGACACAGTTTTCTAAAAATTAGAGGTACTCGATCCGTGTTCACTCCTAATTTAGATATTTGCTTAAAATAAGTTTATAGAGAATTAAATGAAATTTGTACAAAAAAAAAAAGATTAAATATATTGGAAACAAACCATCAAATTTGCCCACAGACTCCTCTCACAGAGATTTCTTGGGGAACACAAAAATAAACTAATTACAGAATAAAAATTGAATAGATCTAATTATATTAAAATCGATTTAAAAATTGAATAAAGTATTGAATGAATAAAAAATAAAAAAATGAATAACATTAGTTTTTCAAAAGAAAGTATTTTATAAAAATTAGTTTCATAAAAAATATAAAATTTTCGAATAAATAAAAAGAATCGGATGCCAAAATGCAAAAGTTTTAAAAAAAAATTGCCTGGTATACTCCTAAACCAAATGGGCATTTTATTTATGGTTAATCACATCAATTAACAAAATCATAAAATAAAGATTAGAGAATGTTGGAGTAAGACGTAACTTATATATATATATATATATAATTCCAGTAGGTACTACTGTTTTAATATTGAGATTTATATTGTAAAATATCTTTAAAAAAAAGAGAAGAATAGAAATTTGTAAAACAAATTGAAAAGAAAATGTATGCATTAATATTATTATTTACAGATTTCGTCATTAACTAATTATATGATATAGATCATATAGTTATTTCTGGCTACAAGAGTAATTGGCTAGATTTTTAAATACCTAAAACTATGCAGAAAATCGCCGCCTTAAAATCGCTAATTGCAATACATTGAGCCTCAAATAAATCCCAAATCACCAGAAAAACAAAATCACAAATAAATCATCCTTTACATTTTCCTTAAACATTCCCCATTGATTGAACACTCATAGATACATTTTTTTTGGTAATAAATGACTCATAGATACATTAACATATACACACACATACTAGCATATGTGTATATATATATATATATATATGTATGTATCTATTGGTCCATCGATAATTTCTATGTCTTGCAAAAAAAAAAGGTTATAAAAGCATATCCACGTTTTTTCCCCCTCAAGAACCATCGATCAAACCACCACTATCCCCGCATCGCCTAATCTCGGTTCAATCTTTCCCAAAATTCATGGTATTACTGTTTCTTTTTACCTTTTTTTCCCACATTTTTATTTAATTAATTTAATTACATCACATTTATTTTTGTCATCACATTTTAAATCCTAATATTACCCTATTTAGAGAAAAAAATATATAACGTTAAAAAGCTTTAATACTTACACATGCATGGTTGATTAGTTCACAATAAAACATTAATAATAATAATAACTAAAAAGAGGATAAAAACATTTTTTTTGTTGGGTTTGTTAATTTTTGCAGGCAATATTGCCGATATTGATGGTAAGGTCGTTGGTGAGAGCGGCGGCTCATCCGATGGCCTCCGTCGCGGCGTTGCTATTCCACAGCCGTCTTCTTCCCCGGAATCTCCAGCCGGAGAGGCTCCTCCGCCGTGATATCTTCGTCGCGGACGATGACCATCTTTTCCGATTTTCCATTTTCCTCCTAAGATGTTTTTGCTAGCTCTCTCTCTCTTTCTCTCTCTAATAACAAACAAAGTTTCCGTATATACAGTGCAATAAAAAAAAGATGATGTGATGTGTTGTATATTGCAATTTTTTTTTATGACTTGAGGTCTTTTTTTTTTGTTCTTCAAAATGATGTCTAACTCTAAAAACTATGCACATTTTCACAATGAGCAGTGCATCACGTGCCTTTAAAAAATTTAATATTTTTTATAAGTTTTTTTTCTTTTTAATAATGTTCTATTTTTTGTTTTAGAAGTCCGAATCTAAATTTAATTTCTCCAAGAAAAGATCATTAAATGGATACACATGTTGTAAAATTGAAAGTCATAGTATAGGGTCAATACTATAACGTTCCAAGAATATAGGGGCCAAAATAAATGTCTTAAAGATGATAATAAAGACAAAACAAACAATGTCTTAAAGGTAATAAAATTCATATTTGTTTACAATTTGAATTATTAAGTGTATTGAGAAATGTTTTAATTATAATGTTAATCATTGTAGGGCACCGGTGATGCCAATTACGATGTACAAGAGTTAGCGCCGTCTAGCAATGACAAACGTATTGGAAAACGGCTACGTCAAAAATAAAATTCACACTTTAAAGACCCATTTTACTTTTGACCTTCATTTAAGACTTCTACATTTTGTCTCTTTCCTTTGATAATTATAAATTTTCTATGAAGACTATTTTATTTATATTCTAGAGTATCGTTATGTTTTTCGTCATTGTTTCATTAATTTTTTTATAATCATTTTAAAAACCATAGTGATGCATGACAAGAGATTTGAAGATAAATGATTAATCAATATACAAGATTTATAAGCGATGTTTGAAAATTGAAGGTTACAATGATCACTCTACCGTTGGAATGTCCTTTTAGATTTTGCCCGCTTATACAATAAATTTGTAGTATCAATAGTGATACCCAATCAATCTTATAAATAATGTAATCTATATATATAAAAGTTGGATTTAGAATCATTTGGTGAAGCCACCTAGGATCTAGCTCATCATCCATGTGGTATTTGTTTTAAAATTTTATTAAGTATTTAAAAGTTAGCTATACGTTTTATACGCACGTATTGAACTATATTCATATTAGTTTTGGTTCGATTGAAATTTTATTGGGATAATAGTTGAAATCTAACTTATCAAAAATTAATTAGTTAACTATATCTGTATATTATTGCATTATTTTTGTATTCAATCTGAATTGGTTAAATTTCTATTCTTTTAACCGATATATCTAATTAGAATTTTACGACCAAGTTGTATTCAGCTTATTATGACGCCTTATTAGATTCAATTTTATAAATTCATATTGGAATATGAAATGATGATAAAATAAAGTTATATTATTCGATTTCTTAATTTAATTATTTTCTGCCACATTTGGTTAATGATCAACCTTTTATTTTTTGGGAATTGAAAACTTTGAAACCATAAAAATAAGGAAAAAAAATCGATAAAGACATATACATGCAAATTATTTTGCCAGTTTGCACATGCTTTTGTTGGATTCTGCTGCCCCTGGCCCAAACAAAGCTCTCATTCTTTACCGTGTTTTATATTTTACCCTTAATCGTATGATTATTAACATCTCTTATTATTATTATTATTATTATTATTTCTCAGGATGCGGAAGCCCAAAACACATGCACCGCATTCTCATCAAAGATCTAACACAACATCCACAAGTCTTCTCATTCCAAATAACTATTTTTTAAATATTTTTTCTTCAATACATGTTCTAAAAATTGTATTCATCTTTCTAATCGTAGATATCTTGAGAGATTGTATCGATTGTCGTCCGTGGCTTGCAGATAAGTATATCTCTGCCATTAAGCCAGTTTATACAACCACAACCACCATAGAAAGAAATGGTAAATTTATCATATCTTTATATATATATATATATATATATATATGATTAAGTTTCAAAAACATTTTACATTTAAATTGTATAAATATTACATATATTCTATTAATTGTATGTTTAGAAATACCCTTAAAATTTATATATTTAGCTAAAATACGCAGCACAATGTGTAAAGAGGCGTAGCTTAAGATGTGATATTACATTGGCTAAAGATGCGGTTCACCGCAAAAAGGTATGAAATTTAAATTGTTGTCTTCATAATGTTATATAAGCGTATACATTTTACGTATCATAACAAATTACAAACAATCAAATTGAAAATCTATATTTTTTATTTTTTAAGTACAAGTCACATATTCCACTATATATATACATCAGGACAAAAAATTCCCACCCTCCCTATATCCAAATTATTGGATAATTCCCTTCACTACTGTTTTTTATCACTTTTATTTTTTTAAGTCGTAACTAATTGTTCAAAATATAACAACAGTAATGATATCAACAACAACATAAAAAAGGATACCTTCGACATCGAGACAAAACGGTTAGTTATAAAATATTTTTCTTATATTATCTAAAACCAGTATGTGAATAACATTAATTCCAACTAAATAAACAGAAAATTTTGTTCAAACATGCTCTACTAATAGTGATCTGCTCCAGTGCTCCTATTGTCAAGCATTAGTATGGCAAAAAGAGAGTACTGGTCGAAAGGATTGCAACGAAAATTGCATGTACAATATATGATGTATGCAAAGCAGAGTCAAACTCCCACAGGTGCTTGATCCTCCGAAATTTTTGGAAGAGCTATACAAAATATCTATTGGATTTCGTACGAATATTAGAGCATACAACTCAATTCTTGCATTCACATCAATTAGTACCAAGGTCGATCATTCGGTAACATCAGGAAATGGTCCATACACATTTAGAATCCACAGCCCAAAACCACCATCAAATAGGATCTCTACTACCTGTGGAAGGAAAACCCCCCAGTTTGCACAGCTTTACATATATGATACTGCAAAAGAGGTTCGGAACCGCATGAGAACATTGAGCAGAACATCGAGTGCAGGATATTTAGATGAACAAATTGTGACAGGCCTCATTTAGATGATGGACGAATTTAATTGTCTTGCAAAGATCCTTTAGAAGGGCAAGGGATCAGTATGAATCAGACAACGTTTCAAATTTCACAATCACTTTGGTGGAGCAAAAAAAACGTGGTAAGCAGTATGAGATGTCAGTTGGTGAGGAGATCGCTGGTTTGATTGTTGGTGACATGTCAACAACAACTGCTGAAAGATATGTTGTTTTACATCTCAAACCATCTACCCATTTACAACGAATAAGCGATCTACATCCGTTGTTTATGAATCTACAATACCCGTTGTTATTCCCTTACGGACAATATGGATTCCATGAGGTGATCCCGTACATAAACGAACAGAACGCGATCACGAGATGATTTAACCATAAGAGAATTCTACACTTACCGGACACAAACAATATTATCTGAAGGGCTGACAATTGTTAAAGCTAGGCGTCTATTCCAACAGTATGTGGTGGATGCTTACACTACAATTGATCAAGAAAGAATACGATGGACGAGAAACAACCAAAAGACATTGGGAGCAGATCTTTATAATAATGTTTTTGATGCAGTAGATAAAGGAGACACAAATGCTAAAGTGTTGGGTAGAAGGGTCATTTTACCCCCTACATTCACTGGAGGACCAAGGTATATGGTTGAAAACTACCAAGACGCAATGACCATATGCATATGGTCACTGTAACGGCAAACCCACAATGACAAGAGATATCTGATCATCTTAAGTCCTATGGCGGAGAATCTGCACATGATAGGCAAGACATTGAATGACGCATCTTCAAGATGAAATTGGATGACATATTAGCCGGTAAAATATGCACCAATGCAATATTCTATTATTTATTTAGTTCCATTTGAAGACAATATTATACGTACAACACACACTAAACTACTTTTGTATAAAATATATTACAAACAATTGATGTACAAACTATATTACGTATGACATAAAATTGAAATGAGTAAGCAATCATTTCTATGATAAACTGTCTATTCACATCAAACACATATAAACAACGATACACATAACTTTCTACATAATGAATAAAGATAATATTTACAATAATTTTATATTAATGTTTACTTTTTAAAAGAAAATGTTTAATTTATTTACCTGAAATTATATATCGAAAATTTTTATACATATCTCAAAATATAACAAAGAATCACCCGCGCATCGCGCGGGTCCTAACCTAGTATCTTTAAAAAAAAGAGAAGAATAGAAATTTGTAAAACAAATTGAAAAGAAAATGTATGCATTAATATTATTATTTACAGATTTCGTCATTAACTAATTATATGATATAGATCATATAGTTATTTCTGGCTACAAGAGTAATTGGCTAGATTTTTAAATACCTAAAACTATGCAGAAAATCGCCGCCTTAAAATCGCTAATTGCAATACATTGAGCCTCAAATAAATCCCAAATCACCAGAAAAACAAAATCACAAATAAATCATCCTTTACATTTTCCTTAAACATTCCCCATTGATTGAACACTCATAGATACATTTTTTTTGGTAATAAATGACTCATAGATACATTAACATATACACACACATACTAGCATATGTGTATATATATATATATATATATGTATGTATCTATTGGTCCATCGATAATTTCTATGTCTTGCAAAAAAAAAAGGTTATAAAAGCATATCCACGTTTTTTCCCCCTCAAGAACCATCGATCAAACCACCACTATCCCCGCATCGCCTAATCTCGGTTCAATCTTTCCCAAAATTCATGGTATTACTGTTTCTTTTTACCTTTTTTTCCCACATTTTTATTTAATTAATTTAATTACATCACATTTATTTTTGTCATCACATTTTAAATCCTAATATTACCCTATTTAGAGAAAAAAATATATAACGTTAAAAAGCTTTAATACTTACACATGCATGGTTGATTAGTTCACAATAAAACATTAATAATAATAATAACTAAAAAGAGGATAAAAACATTTTTTTTGTTGGGTTTGTTAATTTTTGCAGGCAATATTGCCGATATTGATGGTAAGGTCGTTGGTGAGAGCGGCGGCTCATCCGATGGCCTCCGTCGCGGCGTTGCTATTCCACAGCCGTCTTCTTCCCCGGAATCTCCAGCCGGAGAGGCTCCTCCGCCGTGATATCTTCGTCGCGGACGATGACCATCTTTTCCGATTTTCCATTTTCCTCCTAAGATGTTTTTGCTAGCTCTCTCTCTCTTTCTCTCTCTAATAACAAACAAAGTTTCCGTATATACAGTGCAATAAAAAAAAGATGATGTGATGTGTTGTATATTGCAATTTTTTTTTATGACTTGAGGTCTTTTTTTTTTGTTCTTCAAAATGATGTCTAACTCTAAAAACTATGCACATTTTCACAATGAGCAGTGCATCACGTGCCTTTAAAAAATTTAATATTTTTTATAAGTTTTTTTTCTTTTTAATAATGTTCTATTTTTTGTTTTAGAAGTCCGAATCTAAATTTAATTTCTCCAAGAAAAGATCATTAAATGGATACACATGTTGTAAAATTGAAAGTCATAGTATAGGGTCAATACTATAACGTTCCAAGAATATAGGGGCCAAAATAAAAAATAAAAAACAATGAAATTGTCCGAACTACCCACTGAGACTTGTCCGAAGTCCGCCTACTCCATAAATGCGCCATTAGAACCCCTCTCTCTCTCTCTCTCTCTCTCTCTCTCTCTCTGCGAATCTCCCGTATCTAGAAAATCCATGGGAAACGATAGAACCATTATTTCCTTCTTCGCATGTACCGCAAAGATTGGGTTGTGACTTTTTTGGGGATAATTTTGTTTTTTTTTTGGGTTAAATTTTGGGACGATGAATCTTCTCTTTCTTGGAGATGGGGCATTGATTGAGAGTCAAACCCGAATTCACTGAATTTCTAGGGTTTATGAAGCTGCAGCGATGGAACCAAAGTGGCATTTCTGTCGGAAGCAAGCCATGCTCTTGATTTTTTGTCTCACCTTGCTTCTCCATCTTGCATCCTCTGATTCCGTAAGCTCACTGAACTTTGGCATTCCTTTTCGTTTTTGTTTTCTAGAATTTGTTTGACCCTTTTTAGCAGTTTTTTTTCTTCATAAATACAGAATGGTTTGAACGATGATTAACAGATACAAGTTCTGGATATATGTTTGATTTGGGAGGTGAATTTTGGGGTTTCAGGTATCGAACGATTCGACTCAGAGGACTAATGCTTTGAAGAACCGAACTCACAAAGGTAAAGCTATCAACTTTATATTAGAAAAAAGGAGTGATTATTTCTTCTACGGATACATAGTTTTTATCTGTATAAACCCAAATTATCTTTACCTGATTTAAACATTATCTCAGCTTGGTGAGAAAAGCATTCCTTTGAAGCTTTGTCTTAAACCGACATGAACTAGTAATCCATATGGTCCTGCTGTGTGTTGCGATGGCCATTCTGGTAGTGTGCCCATTTAGAGGAATGAATCACAGATCCAGAAGAACTTAGGATTCACCCTTCTCGTCGAGAAACTTATTGAATGTGAATTCTGTATGCGTCGGTCTAATGCTAAACAACTTCGAATTTACCTCTTTCTCATCAAGAAACTCTCCGGCTTGGTTGCTGGAATCCGATAAACACGAAGAGTAGACAGTGACAGGTCTTGAAACCTGTCTCGGGATCGAAAGTTCCTGTCTTTGTTGATAAATTTGATGATACTTCCTTTTACAGCATTGTGCCCTCCCGGTTGGATCTTAGGCCCGAGCAGCACTAAATGCTACGGATACTTCGGAAACTCCACTTCGTGGGAAAAGTCGGAAACTTTCTGCAGAACCTATGGCGGTCACTTAGCAGCAGTTGCATCAGAGAAGGAACTCGGCTTTGTCCAGAAACTATGTGGAGGAAATGTTAGTGGCTGTTGGATTGGAGGAAGAAGCTCGAATTCTGCTTCGGCCGTCCGTTGGAATTGGTCCGATAGTAATGCTCCTCAATGGAACCTGTCGGTGTATCCCCGAATTCCACCCCGTGCTCATTGCCGCAATTCATCTTGTCGTTACGATGTGTGTACTTCCGTGACGAATGGTTCGCTAGCCATCCTTGGGGAGAGATGTAACATCTCTCACACTTTCATTTGCTCGGTCAATGCTGGTAAGCACACTTTCCCGATTTATGCCTCTTAGCCTGCCCAGATCAGATTCCGAACGAATACTATATACGATCCCGACCTTTGTATCTTCTGCCCTGATTTCTCTTCTTTTTCCCAGGATACAAATGCCGCTACATGCATTGTCATCGGGAATATCTCATCGTCATCGCAGTTGTCAGCGGGTTGATCCTCCTAACGACGGTTACCATTGTATTGTGGCTCCTTATCTACAAGAGCAGCAAGAAACGTCGGAAATCCCGAAAATTATCTGATCCTGCATCTTCTGGTATAGTTCCACCAACATGGAAGATCTTCACAAATGAAGAACTAAGATCAATGACAAAGAATTTCAGCGAAGGGAGCCGCCTTGCCGGGGATGCCAAAACCGGCGGGACTTACAGCGGAATCTTACTGGATGGAACGAAGGTTGCGGTTAAGAGATTAAAAAGGTCGAGTTTTCAGAGGAAGAAGGAATTCTACTCCGAGATCAGAAGAGCCGCGAAACTTCGTCACCCGAATGTAGTAGCCATCAAAGGTTGTTGTTATGATCACGGCGATCGCTTCATTATTTACGAGTTTATACCCAATGGACCACTCGATAGATGGCTACACCATGTTCCACGAGGCGGTAGGGGCCTTGACTGGATTATGAGGATGAAAATTGCGACAACTCTTGCACAAGGAATTGCGTAAGTAATCTTATATTATCACCATAAAAACTATATTGCCATTAGGGTTGGTTAATTCAGGTTTCGGATTGTGTTCGTTTCAGTTATATTCGGGTTTTGTTATTTCGGTTTTAGAAAAACTATAACTGTTCGTTTTTTATATTGAATTCGGTTCAACTCGGTTTTGTTTTGTTCGGTTCGGGTTTGGCTTGTTTTTGGTTTTTATTAGTATTTCTCTACGAAATTTTTGGTTTTTTCGGCTAATTTTGTTATTTGGTTTGGTTCGGTTCGGATTTGGTTTTTTTGATTTTAGAAAAATTATAACTATTCAGTTTTTATATCGGATTTGGTTTTGGTTATGATTATGTGTTATTCGATTCAATTCAATTATTCGGTTATTAATCAAATTGGTCACCCGGTATCGATGTGATGTCACATCGACCATATAATTAAGCTAGTTTTTTCGGGTGAGTTCTAGTTATGGCCTTAAAAAATGATATTATTGGACATTATAGGGTAAAGTTCTATCAACTGTTATGATATTTTTTGATCGGTTCGTCTGAGATCTTGAGAGGTTTTGAATGCGGAAACAGGTTTCTACACGACAAGGTGAAACCGCAGGTGGTGCACCGTGACATCCGGGCGAGCAACGTGCTCCTGGACGAGGATTTTGGGGCCCACCTGATCGGCGTCGGGCTCTCGAAGTTTGTTCCGTGGGAGGTCATGCAGGAGAGGACGGTGATGGCGGGAGGGACGTACGGGTACCTGGCCCCCGAGTATGTGTACAGAAACGAACTGACGACGAAGAGTGATGTGTACAGTTTCGGGGTGCTGCTTCTCGAAATAGTGAGCGGGCGTAGGCCGACTCAGGCGGTGAATTCGTCGGTCGGGTGGCAGAGCATATTCGAGTGGGCCACGCCGCTCGTTCAGACGCACCGGTGGCTCGAGCTGATCGACCCGGCGGTCACGACCGACGTGCCGGAGGCTAGTGTGGTTCAGAAAGTGGTGGACTTGGTCTACGCCTGTACACAGAACGTGCCTTCTATGCGTCCGAGGATGTCTCATGTTGTTCACCAGCTTCAGCAACTGCTTCAACCATCTGAAATAAACTGAACTGACAATGTCTGAATTCACGAGTTCAATAGATTTTTTTTTTTTTTTTTTTTGGTATTGTAGACAGAGTTGAAGCTTTTGTATGTAGAGAGTCGCTAGGATCAATGAGCATATTTCTAATGTCATTTTCCATTTTCATTTAACATGAAATGGTACGGAAACTGTTAGCTTAATCGATGGATTCGTTCCACGTTCTATTAAAATAGACTCGTGTATTTTAAATTGGTCCGACATTTTATTACAAAATCCAAGATCGGAATATGCTTGTTCCAATAATACGAAATTATTTTATTTATTAAGTAAATGATTATGGTGATGATGATGATGATGATGATGATGATGAATTAGTGAAAAAGTTGAGCATATGGATGATGAAACAGACGAATGTATGTGACTTGGATCTTATGAGCTTTTAATACATTTTCGAGTCATTGACATTTTTTTTTCGCCCTTTTTCCATTTCACTTTTTAAAAAAAATATTTTTAATTGTCTTTCCATTTTTTTAAGTTTTTAATTGAAAGTAATTATCTATACACACGTCTGTACTTATCTGTTAATCTTATCAAGAGAAATATAATTACATTTGGAAAAAATTAATCAAGAGATAAAATAAAAGACATTAGGATTTGATATTCAGAAAAATTAAAGAATTTGGTAGCCTAAAATTAAATTGATTCCTGTACGTATAACCTGGTTTTAGTAAATAAACATGTCAAATAAAATCAAGAACATCTTTGAATAGTAACCAATTAAAATGAGTTGTGGACATTTATGGCCATAATTTTAGAGAATTTATAGAGTTTATGAAATCAAGGATTAGAGTAATTAACAGAAATTAAAATTTAAAATTTTTAGAACGTAGAATCTTATATAATATAAAATTAAGAGATGGGTACGAATTTAATCAAATTAAAAAAGTAACAACTTTCATATACTTATTGGTAACAAATCCCATAGTTTTTCAGTTTTAGTTTTCCACGTGGAAAAACACGGGCAAGTTACAGCTAAAGCTTGTTTCCTAAGTTGTTCTTCTGCTCAATTTCTAACTTGTTCCCCAAGTTAAATGAACATAGGATTAGTAAAAAATAAGATATTCATAGGATTAGCATACATATACACACATACATACATATATATACACATTTATATACATGTATATATATGTTTGTGTTTCTCTCTCTTCGAAGAAAACAGCTGGTTCATTTCTTTGCCTGATTACCTCTGTAGCTTGATTCTGGGCATTGCTTCAACCCTATTCACAAACCTTCTATTTTATTCTTCTGTAATTTTTTTTTCTTATAAAAGTTTCGATCTTTCCCATCTTGGAACACAAAAACACAAAACCCATCTCGGGTTTTCATGGGTTAAAAGGAAAAAAAATGATGTTTTTCGGGTTTCTGATGAGACCCAAGATGTTTCTCGACGAATTTATGAAACCCAAGTTCTACAAGAGATGGTTAGTTCTCCCCCTGTCTTTACCTCGAATACTGAAAAGATTGCTGTTTTTTGATTGGTTTCATTGCATTCAAATCGAAGCTTAGTGATTGGTTTTATAATTATGCAGCAAATCCACGACCAGTGTCATGAAGATTCGGCTGGATGCAGTTAGGAGAAAGAGGAATGCAGTGATCAAGTTCCTGAAAACGGACATTACAGATCTTCTCAAGAGCTGTCTCGATTACAATGCTTATACAAAGGTGGGACAGGTTCTTCTTCTTTGTCTTGATGTCGAAGTTTCCGCCTGTTTTTCTAACTGTATATCTGTAACTGCAGACAGAAGTATTGCTCGAAGAGAAGAAGAGGCTAACGTGCTACGATCTCATCGAACGCTTCTGCGACTGCATTTTCGCCAATCTCTCGCTTATGCTGAAGCAAAAGTAACGTTCTAAACCCTCCGAATCCGACCAAAGTTTACATATTTTCAGTTCTTGTTTTCGATGTTTTCAGCCCTTTTGAGACAAACGGTTCCATGAAAATATGTTTTGAAAGTTTATTCTTCTTTTAGGGAATGTCCTGAAGAGTGCAAGGAAGCGGTTTCATCGCTAACATATGCAGCAGCAAGAGTTCCCGAAGTCCCGGAACTCAAGGATCTGAGATCTTTGTTTGCAGAGAAGTACGGAAATTTCAGTGAATCATATGTGAATCAAGAGGTGATAATAGAAAACATTTTGTTTTAGCTTCGTTTACGTCTAAATCCTTGTTCTTATCGTTATAAAACCCGCGAAAATCTTTCCGCTGTTTCTGCAGATCATTGAGAAGCTCGATCATAGGAGACCCTCACGAGAAGAAAAGATTCAGACAATGCGAGAAATCGCAAGGGAATTCTCAATCAGTTGGGATTCCATGGCTCTGCAAGAGATGCTTCTAAGACAGTCTTCAGTTCTTCAGGTAACGGAAGTTCATACAGAATCCTGTCTTTGTGTCAGTAACATCAATCAATCTTGGCTAATTAATCGCTAAAACACTAGATTGCGGAAAAGGACCAATCTTTGAGCAAACCCAGCAATGATCAGTACACCGAGACGAAGAAGATGAAAAAGACGATGAAACTTGACAGCAGCAGCGAGGATGAATCTGTTCTTTCGGAGAGTTGGAGAGGAGATTCATTGCAGGGAAGCAGTTCGACTTCGAGTTCGTGCTTGTCAGAAGACGAAACGGATACAGACACGAAGAAGACTGTGTCTTACAGATTCATTCCTCCTCCATACACGAAACCAGGAGCTGGAAAAGATGAAAACCCACAAGAGAAGAAGAAGAAGAACACCGATCGAACAGAGGGATCAGCTCGGAGAAGATTACTTAAGCCGCAAGGTACTGAGAATCCAACAAGCACAAGCAACAACGAAGCATCATCGTCGACAGGATTCAGAGATTTAGGGTTCAAGAACGATGGAATCATCGATTCGAGACGGAGTGAGAACGGAATGAGAGACGACGATCGAAGATCTCCGTCGTTCCAGCGGTGGAAATTGCCGGACTATGATGAATTGGTTGCTCGGATTTCGGCTCTTCGCCGGAGATAAAGACGAAGAAGCAATCTAGGGTTCATCAGATGTTTTCTTCGTAGTACCAGTTTCATAGAAAATGTTCGATTAAATTTACGTAGCTTATTCACATTGTGTTAGATTTTATATGGAACCCAAGGAAAAAAAAAGGTGTAAAAATTATACGGAAAATATTCTTTATAATTAAAAGAATTAAAATAAACAATCTAATTGTTTTTTTTAATTATTACTTATACAGATTATAGATCCAATAATCTATTATTTTATTAAAAAAAAATAGATTTTCTTTAAAAATATTCGGTTTTTCAGAATTTTTAAAATTCGGTTCGGTTCCGAAAAAATTCGGTTCTCTAAAAATGGTATCGTTTGGAAATTAAAAACGGTTTCGGATAAAAAAATACCATTTTTTCGGTTTGGTTAGAAAGAACCGAACCGAAACGCGAAGCCTAGGTATTGCGTTTGGACTACGTCTTTTATCTAAAGCATCAATTATTTGTTTAGTATTTTTCCTTTTGCCCACAAATATTTGATTTCCTAATTCAATATATTCAGAAACATTTGAAATTTTTAATAAAAATCAAAATTTGTAATCTTCTTTAGGATCGTGATATAAAAAAATAATATAGTCTCCAATAAATTCGCACAGCAGAAAAAAAATCGAATACATGAAAAAAAAAAGAACAAAGAACGGAAAAGAGATTCTCAGACAAGCTTCGAACCCAACAACGGAAGGAGGCGGCTTCCTTGTTTCAACTTTTATTTATTATAATCTCTAATAAAAAATGATTTGTTCTCTTTAAAACACATGGATGATTTTGTTTATATTTATTTTTAATTTGAATTTTTATAAAATATAAGTATTTAACTTGTACAACCATTTTGATCTATTATTTATTATATTTAAAAATAATTTTTAAATAATTTTGGGTCATCTTGACGCATCCGAATATGGGTCCACCCAACTCCCAAGCTGGAAATATAGTAAGCTTCTATCTCACTCATTCAATCAATTTGTAAAGGAAAATATTAAAAGATAAGAATATAAATATAACTAACATTTGAATAAATTTATACATATAGGTTTATCTATGTGCACGAGTTGAGCATATTTTCAATAAGAAGTAAAATTGTAAAAAAAAAAATCAACTACGAGTATAGAAGTCATACTATATGGTAAAATTCATAAGAATGCTTTTATATAAATTAAATTGATAACTTTTAAATTTAAAACAAACATCATCTTGTCCTTTGAACGTCTCCAACGGTTAGGTGCTTATCTTTATTTTAATTGCCTCTAATATCTACTTTGCTCATAATTCTCACGTCCCGTCATTTGATGCGCCTTCTTGTGAAGAAAAATATTATGGAATTTCGTCGGTTCATCATTTTTATAAAATAATATATATATATATATATATATATATATCTATTAAAAAAACACAAGGTTTTTTAATTTAAGAGGCTTATATCAAAACATTTAGATTATATATGTTTACCAATTACATCAAAATGCAATAGGAAAAATTATATAATTTTTCAACAATTTATAATTACTAATAATAATAATTTATCAACCCAAAAGCAAAAAAAAAAAAAAAATAGAGGGAAAAATATAATATTAATTAAAAAAATCAATTTGTTTTTCTTGGACACCTAATGCAGAACAACGGACGGAGGATGCAAAGCCTTTGGAAAAAAGAAAGAGTGAACAGAAAAAGGAAATTCTTCGTTTCCAAATGTATGAAACGACGCCGTTGGATCCGTCTCTTCCATAACTCCCAAAGCTTTCGACTTTTTCCCTTCGAATCTCTCTCTCTCTCTCTCTCTCGATCCATTGATCGAAAGCAAGTGGGGAGGTCGGGTTGCGGAGCGAAGATGGGTTGTACGCAATCGAAGATCGAGAACGAAGAAGCGGTCACTAGATGCAAGGAGCGAAAGCAGTTCATGAAGGACTCCGTCTCTGCCCGCAACGCCTTCGCCGCCGCGCACGCCGCCTACGCCATGGCCCTCAAGAACACCGGAGCTGCCCTCTCCGACTACGCCCATGGCGAGTTCCTTGTCTCCTCTCACTCATCCATCGCCGCCATCGCCTCCGGCGGAGCCGGTGTTGCTTCCCCTCCCTCGACATCCTCCTCCGCTGCCGCCGCTGTCGCTTCCTCTTCCGCTGCCGGGATCCCTCAGTCGGTTCCCGACACGCTTCCCCCTCCTCCTCCTCCTCCGCTGCTTCCTCTTCAAAGGGCTGCGACCATGCCGGAGATCAAGGCGAGATCCGGTGGTCCGTCGGGTGGTGGGTTGAACGGTACGATAATTGAGGAGGATGGAGCCCTAGATGACGATGACGAGGACTCTGAATTGGAGAATCGTGAGAGGTTAGTGAGGAAGTCGAGGAGCAGGGGAGGGAGTAGCAGAGGTCGGAGGATGGAGGAAACCCAGGAGACCCCTCCGCCGCCACCTCCGTCTGTAGCTCCGGTGGAGGCAAGGACATCGACGCCGCCGCCGCCGCAGCAGCATCAGCATCAGCAACCTTACTTCGATTACTTCTTCCCTAACGTCGAGAGCATGCCGGGAACCACCCTGGAGGAAACCCCACCTCCGCCGCCGCAGCCTCAGGCGAAACCACCGCCTCAACCGCCGTCTCCGGTCATGGAGGAAGAAGAACCAGTGGTTCCACGCAAGTCGCTCGACGAAAGGTCGAAGAGAGTGGAGGAATCGAGTGTGAAAGCGGAGATGGAGATGGAGATGGAGATGGAGAAAGCTGCTGCCATGGGAGGTGGTGGATCTGGGAGAGGGATGAAGAAGGGCAAGGGGACGGCGTTCGCCGGAGAGAGGAGGATGGCGAGGATGCCGACGAACCTGGTGAATGTATTCACTGAGCTTGATGACAACTTCCTCAAGGCTTCAGAAAGTGCTCATGAGGTTTCCAAGATGCTTGAAGCCACTAGGCTTCATTACCACTCCAATTTCGCAGATAACCGAGGTAATTCCCTGCTTTCCATTCCAATCATCATAGAAGTTAGCCATGGAATCTATGATGGGAGGTAACTCTCAGTATGATCAGATGAAAGATGTGATCTTTCTCTTGAATTTTTGTCTTCCCATTGCGCAGGGCACATTGATCACTCTGCCCGGGTAATGCGCGTCATTACATGGAACAGATCGTTCAGAGGGTTACCGAACGCAGATGATGGGAAGGATGATTTCGATTCTGAAGAGAATGAGACACATGCCAGTGTCTTGGACAAGTTGCTGGCTTGGGAAAAGAAGCTCTATGATGAAGTGAAGGTATGTCACATCATGCCATTGTCCTGGAGGATTTAATATTTAGTCTTCTGTTAGAGAAAGGCCTCACTCTGGTTAAGGTATTTTAGAGGAATGCATGTTAGTGTTGATGAATTTGGTTATATCTTATGTTGAATAGGCGGGAGAACTCATGAAATTCGAGTACCAGAAGAAGGTTTCTCACTTAAATAAGCTAAAGAAACGGAGTGGGAACTCGGATTCATTGGAGAGAGCTAAAGCAGCAGTTAGCCAATTGCATACAAGATACATAGTTGACATGCAATCCATGGATTCAACTGTTTCTGAAATCAATCGTCTTCGGGATCAACAACTCTATCCAAAACTCGTTCAGCTTGTTGACGCGTAAGTTTCGTTTGCCCCTGTGAAATCGTCATCTTTCCATGTTCTTGGTAAGCAATTCTGTAGATGGGTTTTGCTAAAATTGACTACTTTTTTTTAGAATTGTAAAATCATCATCTTTCCATGTTCTATATAAGGTATAAGCAATTCTGTAGATGGGTTTTGCTAAAACTGGTGACCTTTTTGGAATTGTGAAATCATCATCTTTCCATGTTCTTGATAAGCAATTGTGTACATGGATTTTGCAAAAAATGATGACTTTTTTTGGAATCGTGAAATCGACATCTTTCCATGTTCTTGATGAGCAATTCTGTAGATGGGATTTGCTAAAAATGACGACTTTTTTTTCCGGAAATTTGCAGGATGGCAAAGATGTGGGAACTGATGCAAATTCATCATCAACGACAGGCCGAGGTCTCAAAAGCGCTGAGATCTCTGGACATATCCCAGGCCGTGAAGGAAACAAACGATCATCACCATGAACGTACCATCCAGCTTCTTGCCGTCGTTCAAGAATGGCACACACAGTTTTGCAGGATGATAGATCATCAGAAAGAATACATAAAGTTCCTCAACAGTTGGCTAAAACTCAACCTAATCCCGATCGAAAGCACTCTAAAAGAGAAGGTATCTTCCCCGCCAAGGGTTCCCAACCCTCCAATCCAAAGACTCCTCATCGCTTGGTACGACCGCCTTGATAAACTCCCGGACGAGATGGCCAGAACCGCCATTATAAACTTTGCGGCTGTGATCAGCACGATAATGCAGCAGCAAGAGGAAGAGATGAAACTCAGGGACAAGTGCGAGGAAACACGAAGGGAACTCGCCAGAAAGACCCGGAATTTCGAAGATTGGTACCACAAATACATGCAGAAGAGAATACCCGAGGAGATCAATCCCGAGGAAGATAACGATGCCCACAAGGACGTGGTCATCGAACGGCAACTTGCCGTGGAACAGGTGAGGAAGAGGCTGGAGGAAGAAGAGGAAGTGTACCAGAGGCAATGCGTACAAGTGAGGGAGAAGTCGTTGGCCAGTCTCAGGACCCGACTACCCGAGCTGTTTCAGGCAATGTCCGAGGTTGCTTATGCTTGTTCGGACATGTACAGGGCTCTTCGGTACCTGACTCAGCGCCGGAACCAGAACCAGAACCAGAACCAGAACCAGAACCAGAACCAGAGCCAGAGCCAGAACACGAACACGAACACGACGACCGGCCAGGCTTCTTGATGTAAGCTCCTCCTGTATACCTCGTTTTAGTTGCACATTTGCCTCTTTTTATACGATATTCTTCACATCTTGTTTATGTTGTTGTTGCATTCATGCACAAAATAGAATAAACAGCATATAAAAAAATATTTTTGGTGGTACACTACACAAAGGAATTGTTCCTTTAGATGCTGTCTGGTTACTATTTTTTTTTTTGTTTTAGCATATATATATATACATATATATATATATGAATGCACTTGTACAATAGAGTTTTTGTAATATAGTTTATATATAGCCATTTTGATACATAAACTTAGCATTGATCTTTTGTAATTGTAGAACATGTTTATCATACACAGGGCATTACGAAAATGTCCAATCTCTTGTTGATGGGTCGATATTACACGATGAAATACAGGCAACACTGCAAAGTTCAAATTATATATATATATGAATACATCTTTTTGTATAGCTAGTGGAAGATTTAGACTAAACGTTTCCTTTCACGATACCGAGAATCTTTGATTAAACAAATATATTACGTGTTAATTTTGGGTTAATCATAGCCCATAATTATTCGCACCAAACGGACCAAAACAAAGAACAGAATAATCCCTCTTACCAAACACATCTCTCCGCTTCTCTCTCTCTTACATTCACGCGGAATGTCCGGCAAAGACTCTGAACCAGATCCCCCGGCGCCGACGCCGGAGTATCAGCGTCTGCCGTCGCTTGACGAAAACGACGACGTCCCTTCATACCTTGAAGCCTCCTCAAAACGACGACGCATCATCATCACTGTATTCCTGCTAAGCCTCGCTTCCGCCGTCGTCTACATATTCTGGCCGTCCGATCCGAGAATCCACATCGAACGGCTGAGAATAAGCCACGTGCGCATCCGCCGCCGACCAGTACTCTCCGTCGACATGTCCCTCCTCGTGACGCTTAAGGTGACCAACGCAGACGTGTACTCCTTCGGCTTCACCACCCTCCACGTGGCGGTATCCTACAGGGGGAAGACGCTGGGTCACGTGAGGTCCGACGGAGGCCAGGTGACGGCGATGGGTTCGACTTACGTGGAAGCGGAGACGGAGCTTAACGGCGTGGCGGTGTTCCCTGACGTCATCCACCTGATCCGCGACTTGGCTAAGGGCTCCATCGAGTTTGACACCGTAACGGAGACGAGCGGAAAGCTCGGGATCATGTTCCTCCGTTTCCCTTTGAAGGTACTTCAAAGCCAAAAGTCAAAGTCAACCTTTTTATGTAAAGAGCCGGGAAGATTTCAATCATTTAATTTGGTTTTATGCATTATTAATATAAATGATAAATTTAGTATGTAAATCATATGATATTTTCTATATCTGGTTATATGTATATATATATATACCTTGTAAATAGTGACACATACATACATACGTACGTGATGAGCAGGCAAAAGTGGAATGCGGCATTTTGGTAAATACGGTCAATCAGACAATTTCTCGCCAAAGTTGCAAACCCGTCTAAAATCTTAACAAGAGGTAAATAGTGTATATACTATATATACAGTACAAATTACAGAGAAAAAAATAAGATAATTTATTCTTGGAACAAAGATATATATATATATATATATATATATATATTTTATAGCAATGTCCTTGTATCATGGATTATAATGCAATCATGCATTGTCACATTAGGTTATATAAATGTGAGATGCTCCAAGCCACATCACATGGGGCATGAAAGTCGGTCCAAGACCATGCTTCTTGAGAAGCCAGCCTCCTCTGATTCATCAGGCCAATGAGCTGCTGCTGCACCACGGAACCACCTCTGCAAGAAAAATATGCCAAAAGATGCTGCAGAAGGTAGCCATTGCCTTTATGAGACCTTGGCCCCTGTCTTAATCTAAAATCAACAATTACACAATTCATCAACTTTCAAAAGGTCTTGAGAAACTTACCACGCATCCAAAGAGGAAACCCGTATGATGAATCCGAAAATTCGCCCCTTCAGAGCTTCTTGCCCAACCTGGGGAAGACATGAACAGATCGATATAAACAACCTGCATCAAACCAGAGAAAAAATCAGAAATAAAGGAGCAATCTTTTGTAGTTTCTAATCGTTTCTTCTTCTTCTTCTTTAGTTTCTGCAACATTCACCTCTTAAAAACTCGAAAGCCGCTCTTCATCCACACTGCCCACAGCCTCGAGTATCGACGAGTAAGTGATGGCGTCATACGCGAAACCTTTCGCCTTCATTTCTTGCATCAGCCTTCCTGCCTCCTCAAACTTCCCGGCATGCGCTAGACATCCGAGCAGAGTATTGTACGAAACTCCATCCGGCTTAACCCGAGAATTCTTCATTCTTTCAAACATATCAACAGCTTGCCTCGGAACACCCGTCTTCGCCAATCCATGTAGGATGATATTATGTGAATTTATGTCGGGTCTGCAACCGTTTTCTTCCATTTTCCTAAGCATGGTTTGAGCTTCATCTATCATGCCAGCCCTCACCATCCCCGACATAAGTGCATTATACGCGTAAACATCGGGATTGCATCCGAGCTTCTTCATTTCATTGAAAAGGTCCACAGCTTCGATCAGCTGACCTCGTTTCCCCAAATGTTTTATCATCACGGCATATACCCGAGAGCTTAATTTCCCGCAATTCTCCCTCAGCTCCCGGAACAACTCATTCGCAACTTCATATCGTTTGGCCTTTCCAAGAGCGTTTATGATGCTGCAGTACGCGGCAGGACAAGGCGGAAAACCCTTTTCATCCATCTCTTCAAGGAGCAACAACGCGTTCTCCACTCTATTTGTTTTGCAGTATCCGTCTATAAGGATCGAGTAAGTGAATGAACTAGGGGAAACCCCGTTTTCTTTCATCTTTTCAAGCCAAGAACTCGCTTCAGAAGCCGGTGCTTTGGACTGGAACAGAGCTTTAATGACGGTGTTGTATGAAACAACATTCGGTGAACATTTCCATGTTTCCATCTCATGGAAGATCTTCACTAAATCTTCTACACGACCCGCTTTGCCGAAAATGTTCATCAGATTGTTTAAGACCACAACATCCGGATCCAGTCCATATTTAACCATATTCTTAAACAAAGCATAAGCCTCATCTACCCTCCCGGCCTTCCCAAGCCCCTTTATCAGCTCTGTGTACGTAAAAACAGTTGGTGGGCAACCCGTTTTTTTCATCTCCTCGAAAAGGTCTAAAGCTTTCTCAACCTTTCCCAGCTTAAAGTATATTTCCAACAGTGTCGTGTATATTTTCGCCGTGGGCTGCAAACCGTTATCCTTCATCTCGTCAAACAGCCTAATTGCAGAATCATCACGGCCTAACTTTCCATACGAGGATATAAGAGCAGAGTATGTCACCGTGTCTGGTAAACAGTCACCCTCGGTACACATCTCGGTATAAACTTCATGGACTTTTTCATGTTGTCCCTCTTGCATCAACATCAAAATGACCGAGTTGTAAGTGCCTGCAGTGGGTTTGCACTTGCGGCCCTTGGCCTGGTAAAATACCGATAGAGCTTTATTCATCATCTTAGCTCGTCCAAGTATTCTTACAAGCTCGGACAGTTGAGCCGGGCTGACACTAACATACGGGCTGCGAACCATGTCTTGTATTGTCCTCCACATCTCGCCATAAACCCTAGCTTCGTTCAGGCAATGTATCAAGGTCATGTAGGTCGACGAATCATGCTGAAAATTCCGCCTTTTGCCCGCCCACTTGAAAAACTGAATCTTGACATTGATCTCGACATCTATCTCCAGGACAGCGCAGACTAACCGGTGATCCACTTTCAGTTTCAGCACTTCCAGAGCCTTCTCGGCATCGGGTCCCCACTTGAATATTTTCAATATTCGTATGAACCTCTCATCCAATGTCCGTACAGATCGAACCCTTCTTGAGAACACCCCCTTCTCCGGTATCCTTTCAGAATCCTCTGAGCCCGGAACATGAAACATCTGGACAATCTCATTCTCTGCCAATTTCCAAAAGCAAAACGTTATTACGCATTCTCCTGTAAATCCGCAAAATGAAAGCAACCCTAAACGAAAAATCCGAAACTCGGATCAAATATACCTAAACCCTAAACCCTGAACGCCACAACGATATCGTTTTCCACCATCTTTTGAATAAAAAAGAGATGAGCGCAAATCTTCTTCATTTCTCTCTCCTGAGCCCTAAATTCTCAAGCTCGAGTGCATACAGAGAAAACCCTTTGCGCAGATTTTACCCGAAATGCTTTGGAGTAGCGAATAAGTGCGAAAGAACAGAGGAGCAGAGTATGCAGATCACCTGTTTGTTTCAATCTCTGAGAGAGGTAAGGTGAAGTTGAAATATTTCGCTTCGGGAAGATGGGACGGATCAACATTTGCACCAAATACTTCACACACAGAGAGAGAGAGTCGTACTTTAGAACTTACCCCCTCGTATTAGGGGTGGGCACGGGTCGGATACCCGGGAAAATCGAGAGATTTGGATTCGGATCCAGGAGGCTCGGGTATTTAACTATGAGATTTGTATCCGGGATTTGGTATTTACGAGTATCCAGGGTACGGGTATCCGGAATAATAGTCGGATACTCGCGGATATCCGGATCCAGATTTATTTAAGAAAAACAACAATATTCATATATAAAATTTTTAAAACATGAAGATATATTTATAAAAATTGATGAATTATGATAAAATATATAAGATAAAAGAGATAATAAGAGACAAATAATAATAAATTTAATTTTTTTGAATTAATATTAAAAAAATATGAAATTATTTCATCTAAAATAATTGTATTTTATAAAAATGTTATATAAATATAAGATATAATTATTTATAATCATAATACGCGGGTACCCGCGGATATCCGGTTTTAAAAATTCTATTATCCGGATTTGGATCCGGATTCACGGGTATTGAAAAATAAGGATTTGGATTCGGATTTGAAAATTACGAGTACCCTAAAATCGGGTATCCGTGAGACGAGTATCCGACGGATACCCGATTTTCGGGTATTTGTGCCCAGCCCTAATTAAATCTATAATTCTTACAAAAAAAATTATAATATCTATGAAATACTGTTCATTTTTTTTTTCTTTTTATCAAGTGTTATGAACATCAAATTGATAGTGAAAAATATTTGTATATTTTCAAACATTAAAAAAAATGTAACACATTCCTCTCTCTTCTTTCTCTTCCTAGCTCACTCAGACCTCGCAATTTCGTAGTGGAATATGGATACGGACTCTCCCTCGCTCTTATTGTGTGCTTTGACTTCGTTAAAATGTCAAAAGTGGGGACCACTCTTTTGGAACCCTTTGATTCCACCATGGGGCTGCGATTCTCTGCTTCCACGCTCATCTTCACCGCGTCTTCTGATTGGCTCGTGGTTCTCACGCGGCCAATTGAGCCGTCCGATTCCTTCCTTCCTTCCCCATCTTCTTCTGTCGGTCTCAATAATTTGTATTAGAGGATTTAAAATAGAATACGCCACTTGTACGCATTTATATGCACAAGCATATGCGGTATTTTTTTCTCCTGATTTATATAATATTTATAGCGATTACTGTTGTATTGATTTGGAAAAGGGTAATTCATAGCGTCCGGCTATAACATATAGTTTTTATTTTAAAATTAAAAAAAAAATAATACAAGGAAGACGAGAAATCGCTTTTTTCGGTCATATCTTTTTTTTAATTGGATTTTTTTTTTGTAAAAAGTCCTGAGTGTTTAACCGAGTCACACGTTCAAAAGAAATGTAGAACCTTACTTTCTATCGATAACGGACCAAGCAAATTAACAAGCGAGTTATAAAACATTTATCTCTATTATGTCCAGAAGTGGTGGTATAGTGGCGTGGGAGCACAAAGTGTTTTTTCACCTACACGGTTCGAATCTCACCGGATATCAGTAATTATAAAAAAAACATTTATCTCTATTATGAGAATAACTTATATTAATGGATCCGAGAGTTTTGCGCATTTTTCTATTGGGTTTCACATCAAACTAGGAAAAATGTTTTTCTATCGGATTATAGATAGATATATTAGATCCTAAAATCCAAAAATCACTTTGCCAATGCCAGATCCAAAAATTACTTAGGCAACAGGCTGCGATAGAAGGCGAGAGAAAGGATGGGGCCAATGGAAAGTAGGGGTGGGCACGGGTCGGATACCCGGGAAAATCGAGAGATTTGGATTCGGATCCGGGAGGCTCGGGTATTTAACTATGAGATTTGTATCCGGGATTTGGTATTTACGAGTATCCGGGGTACGGGTATCCGGAATAATAGTCGGGTACTCGCGGATATCCGGATCCGGATTTATTTAAGAAAAACAACAATATTCATATATAAAATTTTTAAAACATGAAGATATATTTATAAAAATTGATGAATTATGATAAAATATATAAGACAAAAGAGATAATAAGAGACAAATAATAATAAATTTAATTTTTTTGAATTAATATTAAAAAAATATGAAATTATTTCATCTAAAATAATTGTATTTTATAAAAATGTTATATAAATATAAGATATAATTATTTATAATCATAATACGCGGGTACCTGCGGATATCCGGTTTTAAAAATTCTATTATCCGGATTTAAATCCGGATTCACGGGTATTGAAAAATAAGGATTTGGATTCGGATTTGAAAATTACGAGTACCCTAAAATCGGGTATCCGTGAGACGAGTATCCGACGGATACCCGATTTTCGGGTATTTGTGCCCAGCCTTATCTCGTATTGTCCGAAATGCGATTATGATTTTTAAAATAAGATTATATTAACAAAAATATAATACGATTATATTAAGTTCCGAACCCAAAAAAAAATATTAGATAATTATTTTTTTTTATTTTCACTTGAAATCTCAAGTTACAACATTAAACAAATAATTTTATTTATATATATATATAAGCCGTTTTGGTTAATGTATAATCTAAAATTATATAGTATTTTTCTAAAATTATAAATAAAATAAATACTATTGAATGATTTAATTAGATTTTGGTTTGATTTATATATATATATATATATATATATATATATATATATATATATATATAAATCAAACGTTTTATCACTTTAACTTTGATTTTTAAGTTTTATATCAATATTTTTTTATATTTTTTTATAATACCGAATATCTTTTTTATAATATATAGATTGTTTAAGACCACAACATCCGGATCCAGTCCATATTTAACCATATTCTTAAACAAAGCATAAGCCTCATCTACCCTCCCGGCCTTCCCAAGCCCCTTTATCAGCTCTGTGTGTTGTTATTGTTATTATTATTATTATTATTATTATTATTATTATTATTATTATTATTATTTTTATTAAATAGAAAAAATTCGAAACCTTGTTGGAACCTGGCCGAAGTCCTATACGATCGGGTTTCATACCACCGATCATAGGTCCGGACAATAAATGAGTGGGTTGTTCCGAATTAAAAAAAATGTAGATCCAAACTAAACTTGACCCGACTAGTCCATTTTCCACCCCGATATAAACGAATATAAACCAGTCTCATAAGATGGAATTGAACCAAAACTGATCCCCATAATCGGATTGTTTCATTCGTCATAATATCAAAATTAGCATCACTCATGTTTGATGAAATTTAAAGCACTCCTTTATTAACCTTTTTTTTTAATAGTGTAACCATCGTATGTTGCAATTTTTGAGCAGAGTGATAATAAAAAGTACTATTCGAAAACTAACTCAAGAGTTCTCTATTTAAGAAAAGTTAAAATCCCTAATATATGCGCAATTGATTTATACATATTATAATTTATAACCATACTACAAAATTATTGAATGAAGGGTCAAGTCAAATACCAATGAATTGACAAGGAGCACAAAAATGTTTGTGATCAAAGAAACATTCCCTCGGAGACAAACAAACACCGGTCTATCACCGAAGATCGATTAATAAAACACCAAGGACAAAATATGGAAATCTACCTCGAAAATTCGTACCCTTTGATCCAAAAAGAGGGATGAAAGATTAGTGCTTCTTGAGTGCATTCATCTTGTCCCTGAGGTAGTAAAGTTTGGCTCTTCTAACTTTCTTCTTGTCCAGCACCTTGATCTCCTTCAGGTTCGGGGAATACCTGTCACCAGACACCGGCTTATTCAGCTATATCGCAACAGCAGGACTCGGGTACGAGCGACAAACAAGGAGGAAGTACGCGAAAGATCTTATTAAACGCCTAATGATGCATATGATGATCCTTCCACTATCCTTTAGAATGCGACGCCAAACATGGAAGAAAATTGAACTCCATAGTCAGAAGAAGCCATGCTACGAGGGCAAAGAGTGCTTAGACAATGTTTTGATACTGTAAATTTCTAGTAGCTGCATGGGAATCTTCCTTGACAATAGTAAAAAAAAAGGGTAAAAAAAGATTCTGGAATGTGACAAATGAGATTCACCAATGGTTAGAAGTGTGACAGCAATATATACTGAAGTTTCATATCATATGGGATTGATTATGAAGGCAGGATGAGAATTGAGATTAACACAATTCTCTTATCGCATCAGTCTGCTATCTTCAATTTTGGTGAATCTTTATCAATCTATCGGGCAGCGGAAATAGTACGAAGCCTATGCAAGAAATGAGAAAGAAAGAAAGAAAAGAGAGAGAGAGAGAGAGAGAGAGAGAGGGGGGGGGGCTGAAGGACTTACAAGGGGAACATCGATTCAACACCAACTCCAGCCACAAGCCTCCTAATCCTAAATGTAGAATTGAGACCAGCATTACGTCTTGCTATGACAATGCCTTTCACAATTGAAGCACGCCTCTTGTTCTCAGGCACTTCCTGCTCAAACAAGCCAAGAAAAACATGCGGCAATGAAATGTTTCACCCATTTGGACAAAGGAAACGAAATATAAGATATTTTTGCATGTGTTTCTTCAGAAATGGAATGAATATGAGGCAAGTTCAATGATATTACCACTTTGAGCTGAACAATGTAACCGGGCTTTATATCAGGTATCTCTCTTTGCGCTCTCACTCCCTCAACTGCCTCCTTATCTAGAATCTGCAGAAGGTACAGATAGAAGCATCAATTTGTAGTACATTTGCACAAGTAATTCTGTGACGATTGAGAACAGGTGCTATACCTGCATTATATGCTTTGCAGTCTTATCAAGCCTTTTGAATTTGATCCTTGGAGGTGCATCAGAAGCTGACTCGGACGGTTGGACAGAATCTACAGTGGTGGCAAAGCCCCTTGATGAACTTGCAGCTGTAAATATCCGTCCATACTGTCTCGACCAATCATGTCAAGCACACAGAAGTCAAGTTTCGAACACTAACACAATCAAAGAGCTAGAGAGTAAAACACTGTCATGGGACCTACAGTTAGGAAGAGGGAGAAAGCTCAACAATGCGAAAGCAGTTAATGGGTCACAACAAGCTGTCTGTATCCATAACTTGATGAAATGACAAAAAAAAAATTGGAAAAGGTTCCTATATTTCCATGTTGTTAATTGGCTAGGATCGGAGGACAACGGCAAGGAACTTGGAAAAAATAACAAGCAAAAACGCCCAACATAAAAAAAAAGAAAGTCATTTCTTGTTCTTTTGTATATATGAGTCTCTAATGATGATTCAGATCATGAGCTTCTTCAAACGAAGGCTCCATACCATCACTTTGAAGATGAATCCGGATGCATTTCCTATTTCAGAACCAAGGCTCGATGATTCTTATCCTTTTACTAATTTCCAACCATACCAACCAAAGAACAAAGCAGAAACTTCATTTCCTCTTCAATTCAACAAAAAAATTATCTTCTTTTCCTTCTGCGCAATGGAAGGAAGCAATATGAACAAATGAATGCCAGAAAAGTACACAAAAAAGCAGTAACTTACAGATATCAAAGAAGACGAAGACACTATCCTCCGGACAGAGTTAAGCAGATAAAATGCGGGTGAACTGAGCGAATCAAACCCTAGTTTTCTAAGTTCGTGACCATTTCCGTTGGCCACCAAAGGGCTTGTAGACGAACCCAGATGAACAGCGTTCACGAAGGAGAAGGTTTGCCTCTGAAGAAACTGCCGACTATCACAAAAACATAGCATTTCCCAATTCAATCCATTAGGCTGATACGAAGAGCAAAAAAAACTCGAAAACCAGCCCACAAGAGCCGAAACCCGACTGAACAATCAAACAACTTCACATAATATCCATAACAGCGCAGACTAACCGGTGATCCACTTTCATTTTCAGCACTTCCAGAGCCTTCTCGGCATCCAATGTCCGTACAGAAAGGAGCCTTCTTGAGAAACCCCCCTTCTCTGGTATCCTCTCAGAATCCACTGAGCCCGGAACATGAAACATCCGAACAATCTCATTCTCTGCCAATTTCCAAAAGCGAAACGTTATTACGCATTCTCTTGTAAATCCGCAAAATGAAAGCAACCCTAAACGCAAAATCCGAAACTCAGACGAAATATACCTAAACCCTAAACCCCAGGACTAAACCCTGCACATCTTTTTCCATTATCTTTTGAATCAAAAAGAGATCAGCCGCAAATCTTCTCCATTTCTCCCTGCTGTGCCTGCAGTGGGTTTGCACTTGCGGCCCTTGGCCTGGTAAAATACCGATAGAGCTTTATTCATCATCTTAGCTCGTCCAAGTATTCTTACAAGCTCGGACAGTTGAGCCGGGCTGACACTAACATACGGGCTGCGAACCATGTCTTGTATTTTGCGCAGATTTTACTAGATGCTTTGGAGTAGCGAATAAATGCGAAAGAAAGAGAAGCGGAGTATGCAGATCACCTGTTTGTTTAAATCTCTCAGAGAGGTGAGGTAAAGTTGATATCTTTCGCTTGGGGAAAATGGAGCGGATCAACATTTGCACCAACGGAGACAGAGAGAGAAGACTCTCGTACCTTACAATTACAACTTACCCCCTCGTATTGTCGAAAATGCGATTATGATCTATAAAAATAAGATTATAATAACAAAAATATAACATGATTATAACATAATTATACTCGAATATAAACCGGTCTGATACTTAAGAGATCGAATTGAACCAAAACCGATCCCCCATAACCGGATTGCACAATCTCTGCTTCATACCAAATTCCCAAAGGGGTGTGAGAGAGAGATGTGTACACGTGGCAACAGAGATTTCCCAGATTCCGGATAAGGGGACTTCAGAATCCTAGTTGGCAAAGCATAATCCAATGTCTCCCAAATCAAAATGCCCAATTCGTGATTATCTTCAGTTCATGATCTTGGCGAAAAAAGATCAAATTTTGGATTGAGATGCAAACCCTAATTTTGATCAAAGATTTGAATAAAAATGGTATCTTTCTGCAGATTAGTAATTAGCTTTTCCTTTTCCTAAGTTACACGTCACGGATCACACAAAAGGAAACATTTTTTTTTGGGGGGCGATGTGGTGAGTGAATTTTTTTTTAGTTATGAATTGATTTCCACACATTTGCCATCTCCAAACACTTCGCGGCAGAGATGGGCTTCCTCATGGGGAGCTCTTGCATCTCCCCATCTCCTCCTCTTCATCACTCTCGATTTTCATCATCACCATCGTCTTCTCCGTCGCTCTCTGCGCTTCTATGCTCTCGCAATGCCGCCGGATTCAGGCGGAGGCGGCCGCCGTCGGCTTTTCTCCGTCGTGAAGGTGGCTTCGACGCCGTCTCCGCGAAGAGGAGGGCTGTTCTTTTTGTGGGTATCTCGGTTATTCCTTTTTTGCAGCTTCGAGCTCCGGTTATGGCGGATGCCGGTGAGTTTTCGGGGGGTTTTTTGCTTTCTTGTTCTGTCTTTCTCCTATATATGCGTATCAATCGAGGAGATGTTGCTCCTTGGTTTTGTCTACTGTGCCATTTTTACGAAGATGGATGTCTTCGGAATTTGGTCTGAGAAATCGACTTGATACAAGTTAGGTACTTTGACTTGTTTGTTTGGCTGTCGGGATTTTGACGGGCCTTTAACCGTTAATGTGGGGAAGGAGAATCATGCATAGTTAGGGTTTTCCATCTTGGTTTAGAAAATTGGTCCTAGGTTCAACTGTGTTTTGGCTCAATCGTAGAACAGGTTTCTTGAAGAAAGTCTTTAAAAGAGGCGACTGCTGGATTTGCTTGAGAAATTCTTACTGCATTCCCCCTTTTATACAGTTTCATGCAATTGCCAACAAGCAGCCAATTTCATCTGTTGATATGAACTAACAGCTTGGATCTGGAAGAGAATAAGAACCCGTTATTAGAGATAGAGATTTCATATTTCATCAGCTCTTGTTTCCCCTTTGGGTAGAATTTTATGGCCTCAAGTGCAGAAACTACTGTATTATGTAATGAAGTCATTCATTTCTCAGATTTAGAGATTGACTTTGATAGTTTAGGCATCCAAATGGCTCTGGTCGTTTTCAGTGTTACCTGTTCATTGTTGAATTTCATGGCGTCTTTCACAGGAAGAGATCTTCACTACAGCACGTTTTTATGTCGGTAGAGAAATATCACTGCATTGAAGCGGTTGACATGTTTCGTCTTTAGATGTTGTTTTTCACTTATCCGTGTCTGCGCATTTCTTGCAGGAGAAAGTGAGTTAAAGGTATCAAAACAGAATCGGGAAACGGAGGTTCAAACCCTCTTTCTTAATCTTCAGTTTGAGTACAGAAGTCTCCTTTATGTTCCCATCTTAATCAATCATTTTGGAGTGCTTACGATTTTCTTATCGGTATTGCTCGGTGGATTTAGCTTGCAGCTAAAGAGGGTAATGCCCCAAATCCCTTCCTATCTCTCTTAAATGGCCTCGGAATATTTAGTGCCGGAGTTCTTGGCGCACTTTACGCACTGTCACGGCAGGAAAATGAAGCTGCCCAAGAAGCCATCAACTCTGTAAGCTCCCTACTCACGAGACTCGGTTTCAATTCTCGGGCTTAAAATTTTACTTTTTCCCGTTCGCTCTTCGCTTTTTTAAACTCGTTTTCGATGATTTGTGACATGCAGCTGAAGAAGCGGTTGGAAGACAAAGAAGCTGCGTTTATTTCAAAGGAGAAAAGCTTTGAAGCAAGAATACAGACGGAGCAGGAAGAGTGGAGAAAGCAACTCCAAAAGGCAAAAGAAGAGAAAATGCTGTTGGTTAGCCAATTGAATTCAGCGAACGAGACAGTCACGGGATTAGGCCGGGAGCTAAGCAGCGAAAAGAGATTATGTGAAGAGCTTAAGGCTCAAATCAGAAGTCTTCAAGCGGATTTGTCAAAAGCCAAGGAAGAGAAAAAGTCACTCGAAGAACAGCTCAAGGAAAAGCTTGATACCGTTGAACTGATGCAGGAAAGGATTAACTTGCTCGGTCTGGAGCTGAAAGAAAGTGAAGAAAAATCTCAAAGTATCGGTGATTCTTTGGCCGAAAAGGAGTTGGAGCTGAAGAACCTCGGTTCTACCTACGTCCTTACGAGCCGTGAACTTGACGAGGCAAAATCAGAAATCCTACGGCTGAATGATGAACTCTCGAGGAATCAGAAGGAGCTGGACTCGAAAAATTCCGTGATCGAGGAGTTGAATAACAGAATAAGCGCCTTAGTGGATGAGAGAGATGGTTTTATGAAGAAAATTGATGATATTTTAAAAGATTACGACGCTTTGAGATCAACTTCTGAAGCCCGGGCAGCTGCAGATGCTGAGCTCTTGGACGGGAAAGAACTTGAGATTCAGAAGCTGAAGGAAAAGATTCAACAGGCGGCAGATGAACTGGAGGAGAAAAAATCCAAAATTGCCGATTTGATTCGGGAGTGTCAAGATTCAAACCAAATGTTGGATAAAGAACGGGCTAGCACAGAACATTTGAGAGATGAAAAGGAGGCCAAAGAGAAAGAGCTTGAGGCATCGAAAAACCGGGAGTCCGGCCTGGAAAAGCAACTGGATGAATCAAACACTATGTGCACAAAGCTGAAGTTGGAGGTTTCCAGACTTGAAGCTGAATCCAAAGAAGCCAATGAAAGGCATGAGAAGATCCTCGGAGAGGCCAAAAGAGATCGAGAGGCATTGGCCAGCGATCTTGAAATGAAGGAAGAGCTTCTCGAGAAAACGAAAGACGAGGTGGAGAGAAAGATCCATGAACTCGAAGAGTTAACCGAGAAGAACTCTAGCCTTCAGGAGGAGCTGTTGGAAGTTCATCAGAGAGCTGAAACCGCGAGAAAGGAGTTAGAAGAGGAGAAAGAGAAGGTTTCGGCGTTTCAGAAAGAGGTGGAAGTGATGGAAAAGCAGATCTCCAAGGACAAGGAGGCGAGGAAAACCCTCGAAGGAGACCTGGAAGAAGCGGTGAAGTCACTGGACGAGATGAACAAAAACACGTTTTCTCTGTCGGGAGAGCTCGAGAGAGCGAATACCCTTGTCTCCGCATTGGAAGACGAGAAGGAATCGATGCAGAGATCATTGGAAGAGGCGAAGAAGGGATCGAAAGAAGCCCGGGAGAACATGGAAGATGCACATAACCTGGTGATAAGACTTGGGAACGAGAGGGAGACGCTGACGAAGAAAGTGAAGAAGCTGGAGGAGGACTTGGCCTCTGCGAAAGGGGAGATACTGCGAATGAGGAGCCAAAGGGATGGTGTGGAAGTAGTGAATAGTAGTAATGCGAAAGAGGAGAAACCGAGAGTAGGCACCACCAACACGGTTGCTGTGAAGAGAAGTGGTGGAAGGAGGAGGAAGACCAACAACGGTCCTTGAAGTAGATAAAGGTGATGACTTTTGTATTCCGCATTCTCTTTGTATTGTTCTGCCACCAGAGATATCTTCTATGTAAATTTTGACAAAGAGGCAAAGTTTGGAAATCTATATATATATATATATGAATGTATTGGAAAGAAATAAGTTGGGATTTCTCAAGGATCTGTGAACAAAAAAGGGAACCTTGCTCTGCAAAATCCAAAAAAAAGGTGGAAAACACAAACGACCACAGTGGGAGTCGAACCCACGACCTTTTGATCCGAAGTCAAACGCGCTAATCCACTGCGCTATGCGGTCATTGGTGATGGGATTCCAAACATAAAAATATTTTATCTTTAATTATTTTGTATTTCGGTGGAATCTGGAACAGGTTTTTCAGGAGATGCTGTTGATCATCTGATTCTGGGATCTCTAAAGCAGGGGATTTCGGAAGTTGTTAATTCCCCGAGAATTTGTTGATCTTGTTCTTTATCTGTGGGTTGGAAGATGGATGTTTTAATGGTACGTGCGTTGGTATGGGTTGGAAGATGGCTCATCATCACTGCCCATGTCGTCTGTCTCCAAGTCTTGCATCGTACTGACTCCCTCTGTGATCTTTGATGTGTCGTCGACATTCTTGCTCGAACCCTACTTCCTCTGTCGTCGTTCTTCCTCGGCTGGTTCGCAGGGTGAGGAAATCTGCTCTCACGACTCTACATCTCTGAATATGTGATTGTGTTTTTGGTTGAATTTCGTTGCTTTATTTGCGACTGATCAAATTCTGTGTGGTGGGTGTTTTCTTATTCAGTTACTTTAGGTTATGTTCCTATTTCCTTTGCATTTCTTTCAATCCCACTGCCAAAACAAATAGGTTTCGTATTTCGATTTCTTTCTGTTTGATGACTTCAATTGCAGAATGCTTTTGCTAATTCTATATAAGAGTTTCTTGGTTAAGTTTGGATTCACTGCCAATGAGGTGAAGATGGGATGTGATTGTTTAACTGCAGCATCAACCGTTTTCATATTCATTCTAATTATATAGCATAATCTGATTCATACAACTTCTTTACCCACATTCGTCCACGACGTGCGAATCCTTACCTATTTAACACCATATCCGGACGCCGACATGGTGCGTCACATTCCGGATGCCCTACATACTTTCCTATTTTTTATTACGCCGTAAATAGAGGATGTCCAATGTTTATATCATCTGAATTCATTGCATGTGAGATATGACATGGTTTTAAGTTTGTTGGTTGCCACCTACCGCAAAACCCTCATCCTTTATCCGAGTTTAGGACGGGCTAAACATAAGCGAACTCATGTCTAGGTGGAGTTTATATACATATAGATATTTTTGTTAAAAAAAATGGTTTAGTTGCTAAAGTTGCCACTGAAATACATTTATTTATTCTACAGTTAAACAGGAAGCCTCCCTCCTGTGTAGTCATGGAGTTTTACATCGCCAAAAAAAAAAATGGGGAAAGAGAAGAATACTTCTATCTTCAGAAGAATGAAACAAGCGTCCATAGAGGAAAAAAAAAAAAGGTTTTCTCAAACTCTGATTTACAGAACAGGAAAGGTCCATTCCTCAATTGCAAAAGCTCAAGCTGACATCTATAATGCTTAATGTTCCCCAAAACTTCTCTGTCTGGTTTTGCTCTTCTTTATAACTTTCCCACTTTTGCTTCAGCAGCACTGTGGGAGTTTGGCAGGTTGGTTTCATGGCTGAGGCTGCGCTTTCCATGCTGATGAAATATCGGCAACGGCCTCGCCAACTGAGAGATAGAGTCCGCTCATCCCCAACGCGTCAGTGATCTTTGACTTGTGCAGCTTTTCCATCACGCTCCCGACGGGGTTTACTAACACGAGCTGTTGGAAAATGAACAGAAAAAAGGTACGTTACGATGTTTATCTCTCGGATTTCCCCGGGATATCGCTTGTGTTTCAAGACTAACCTGAAGTGATTGCTTCTCGAGCGTTCTTCTGAGCTCAAACACGGCCTCAATCCCGCTTGTGTCGATGGCTGACACGGCTGAAATGGTTTCAACAATTGGGAACTTTGAACTCAGACATACTTGGAGAAGAGAAGAAGAGGTGATTGATTCTGTTCCGGGTTTTAACCAACATACCTGTCAATTCAAGAATTACGCATTTCAGCGTATTTCCATTGTTCCCCTTTATCCATCCTTCCTCTTCTCTGATCCATCTCAAGATCCTGCATATGCCCATAACTCTTTTCCAGTGAGAAAATTTCTGAGTATGAACAGATGAGTTCGTGACAGTGGGAGAGGGTAATGTGGGCTGACCTTTCTTGCAGGTAAGTGCAATTGGCAAAGTATATAGGAGATTCTATAGCCAATATCAAGAAGCCTGGAATTCTTGAGGCTTCTCTGTATCTTCCAAGACTCTGGTATATCTCAGTCCCCGGGATATTCCCCAATACAACGGTGTTTGGTCTGGTTACATGCAACAGAATCTTTAGAACCGAAACTCCAACCTGAATCAGAAGAGCGACAAACTTAGAGAACAACCCGAGAAGAGGTGAAAGAAACCTTGAGGGAGAGTTTTTTGCTTACTGCTATTGCTAAGCCGAGAGGTACAGAGATGAAGAGGACACCAAAGAAGGAACACAAGCAAGCAAAGAAGTCGAGCTTGTCAACTTTCCACAACTTGTATGCAGCCTGATAGTCGATGAGACCTATCACTGCAGTTATGATGATGGCCGCCAGGATAAAGTTGGGTGTGTAATAGAAGAGTGGCATGAGAAACAAAAGGGTTATGAGCACAGCTGAAGCCATCACAATGTTAGTAACCGCTGTTTGTGCTCCAGCATTGTAGCTTACAGCAGATCTGGAAAAGGATCCTGAGAAAATGATTTGAAGGAACAGAATCAGAATCCCGGTTTCTCGGCAACCGTTTTTTGAGGAAGGGTTGTGAGATTCTCGGGAAGTTACCTGTTGTAACGTAGCAAGAGGTGCAAGAACCAGCCATGTTCATGAAACCGATTGCCATCATTTCTTTGTTCCCGTCAACTTGGTAATTCTTGAGAGCAGCAAATGTCCTTCCCACAGCAATCCCTTCCTGAAACGATCAATGAGATCCACACCTTTGTTCATCTTCCCCAATCGAATCAGAAGCTCCAAAGGAAGTCAAAAGATTCAGTTAACTTACTGTAAGGGAAAGAATGCCAGTGATGATACCGGTCTTGATGGAAAGAGCAAGATGGGTGGCACTGAAGTACAACATGTTTGATGAAGGAGGATTCAGACCCTTTGGCAAATGCCCAATCTGCATGCATCAGAATCCAAAAAGACCAAACAGAAGATGAATCTATGTCTCTCTGTCTCTCTCTCACACACAGTTCACAGAAGTTGCAGAGAAAGAAACGACATGAAAATGTCCTTACAAAGGAAATGGCATGAGTCTTGGATCTGAGAAGAAACACCAGAAGGGTAGAGAGAACAACAGATACGAGCGGAGCTGCAGCCGATACCCAGAAAAGATTCGGCCTCTTCATGCTCTGTAACGTCCCGAAATCGCGTAAAGTTTACATCTTTCCAACCCTTTGATCAGTTTATTAGAATTTCTGAAAGTGTGAATACTTACAATGTGCCTTGTTGTTAACAGGAAGCACAAGAAGCCGAGCCCCATTGCAATGGTTTGCCACGACCACTGCGTCAAACGCAAGCAAAAGCTGAAAACTCTATCACTGATCATTACCAAAAAACAAAAATAACCAAAGGAAAAAAAACGGAGATACCTCGGATTTGTGAGTGAAGACAGAGGACATGACAGCAAGAAACTGCATTTTCCCGGTGAAGTGAACGATTCCGAGAAGACCCTTGAGCTGTTGAAGCGACACAATGACCGCCGCACCTGCCGTGAACCCTATCAGGGTTGCCTTTGACAAGAAGTCAATCACAAACCCAAGCCTGGAAATTTTTTTTTGAATTTTTCATTATTAAATAAAGTAGATATATTATAATCTCAACTGTAATCAAGTGTGACCGACGAAAAATGCCTTCGTATTATTGTTGTTAATATAAAAGTAATTTAAAGATAATGAAACAGTGTATCCACTTGGGAAAAGGAAGCATCTTTGAAGATATAAAATTAAAATGTGTCACAATCAAATAAATAAAACCTCATAGATCGTCCATATTATCTCAATTCAATAAACCGTGAATATATTCCACCTAATCATAAAAAAAAAAATTCGAGAAACAGTTTCTAACAATAGATTCCATTTTTTTTTAGTTTATTCAAAAACTTAAACTAGCACAGTGAAAATGTGGGTCCATTGGTTACAAAAAAAATTATATACATGTTATCTTAATAACCAATGACCGCAGTTTATAATCTATACGAATGGAACTGAAACCGGGTATATCCAGCCGTATATTTATACGTATTTTTATACCTGAAAAGGCCCAAAGAAGCTTGGAAGAGGCCGGCGAAGAAAGTCGAAGTGAAAGCCAGCTTGAGGTAAAGGATTTGGTCATTGGAGGGGGAAACGCTCGCACTTAGCATTGAGCCCATCACAAGAGATGCTATTGAGACCGGACCGACGGCTAGGTGTCTTGAACTGCCCAATACCGAATATATAATCGGCGGTACAAAGCTTGAATCTGCAATTTATATTTTTCCAAAAATAATAACAAAATTAATCAAACCGGAATCGGTTTAGTTAAACCGGTGTCTTAAACAGCAGTGGTCAAAGTTGTCTGATTTTCGGATATCCGTACAGTTCGAGTTTGTAAATCGAAATTTGATGGTAAATGACATTCGGGTTTTGGTTTCAACATTTTATGGTTGCGATTATATATATGTATATATATGCATGGATACCGAAATGAATAGTACCGTTTATATTTATTGAAATTATCTATAGTGTTAAAAAGGAATTATAAAGTTGATATTTATTGTAAATTGCAAAATTATATTATTGAGATCAAACTTCAAATCTTAAAATCCAAAATATTTGGATACAAGTTCGGTTACCCTAAAAAAAATTCGTATCCTTCTACCACTATTATTAATTAATGTGTGATTAGGGTTTGTTTATATAAGGGTAAAATTGATAATTACTCACATAGACCAATGATGGGTGGTAAGTTTGCAAGCTTTGCGTAGCTGATTCCCTGCCGTCGGAGGAGCAAAACAAGAGGACCAAAAATCAAGATTATGATTATCAAAAATAAAATAAAATATGTTCTTAATTAGCAATTTATGAACGAATCCACCATGGAATTAATATTTTTTATTTAAAAAGTTGAAAGTTATTAAAATTTATGAAAGAGGGATTGATGCCAAATGATACAAAATCAGGGAATAATAATACTAATTCACATGCAAGACAAATAAAATGGTTCTTTTGGCTTAATCTTCAACCGTACGTATCTGTAACCCCCCCCCCCCCCCCT